CAACTTTAAAATATGGATTAGGTCTGCTAAAGAGAGATGAAAATCAATTTCAGAATATTCAACTGGCTATAGATGCAATCAGTGGGTGATGAGGAAAGATCAACAATGTACCCATGGGCTGCCAATTTTGTTGAAAAAAATGACTTCAAAGTAGTCTCACTTCAATTAATCTGTTACCAATCTGAGTATTCGACCCATTTTGTTTTGCAAAAAGAAAAACTGCGGGTTTAATTACACAGTGCTCTTCAAAACAATTTAGAAAAAAGGAATAAAGAAAAATAAGTAGACTTTGCATGAATTAGTAAGGTTATGCAATGAAAAGTCATATCCACCCTCTTTTCAACTATCAATAAAAAGCATTTAGAAAAAAATGTAAAAGCCCAGCAAGGAACTCGCACAATCTGCCGGTTTTGCCATTTTTGAATGTTGCAGCACAGTGGATTCCTGGTTCATGTTCATGCTTGCGGCATAGAAATTAGAACATCAGTGAGAACAAAATATTTCTCCAGCTTTCTGGGTTATATCTGACCCCTGGTTTTGCTGTGCTGTCACATGCAGCCCTTTTGTCTTTCAACTCTGCTTGTATGTGAGGGATAATCTGGAGTGAAGAGAAACAGCTTCAAGCCATTCAATGGTTAAAACTGACATTTTTGGACAAAATTGAACAGAATTTCAAAAACAGTTTTTAATTTTGTAACAGGAGCATGATAAATGGAATCGTTCCTGCCTGTGCAAGTACAAATACGTCCATTGGACACGGTGGGAACAATTTTTTCCTGCGAGCAACAGCATTTGAGCAGATTTATTGCCCTATTGAAAATTGAGTTGCATTATAAATTAACTTTGGCCTGAATTTGCCCTTTTTGAGCTCTCTGCTGCAAGTTAATCACTGGTGGGAATGCTTCATTCCAAATCGATTAAGAAACCATTAAACTAAAAATAAAGGATGCCTGAAGGATTACCAAGAGCTAATTTGCAGGTTATCCAGTGGTGGCGATAAGGTTTATTGAACTTAGGTTTTAGTGCAATCAACTTGTGAAACTTTTTGCTGACAAATGTTTTCTTATTTGATGTAACTTTTGCTACAAACACCTAGAGTGCTTTTCCGAATCAATTGTCAAGGCAAACATTAAGGTGATGAAAGATCTCGATCCACAAAATAATAGATAGGTAGAAATAATGAGATTGTAACATATATGTCCATAAAGGTTCAGCACCTAAGGTTATTTTGAAACAAGTGCAACTCATAACACGTGCTGACATTGCAATCACAAGACTAGCCAGAGCAGATGCAGCCAGTTTGAAGGGCCTTCTTCAAAGAAAATCGAGAACATTGCAAGTACTATGCGAATTGGCTTTCTGCCTTTGACTCATTTTATTTTACGTAATAGCACAAAGAAACAGGAACTCCAAAAATATGATGACACTAAACAGGCAAACAATAAAAAAAATTACAAATACTCATTTTGCCAGTTAAAAAAGACAGGTCTTAAACACACCATTGCCTAGTGTAAGAGGCAAGAGATGGTTCAGAGAGGAGCTTCTGAACGAAGCATTAATGTAAATGAGGGATTAATCTGGAAGTGCACCAGCAATCTCACCAGTTTGGCTGGAGCCCATGAACAGGATCTACCTGGTGATGTTCTTGAACTATACAGTGGGCAACTGAAGTACCACAGCAATTACTTACTTATGATGCTAATGTTCCTAGGCAACTGCATGAAGCCAGTCTGGATCTACTCACGTAGTTAAGCAGTGAAGGTTGATTGGGCCTTCTCTTGCTATCTTGGGATAATAAATGCAATGGGTTTTGTGGAGTCACCTGACCTGACAACTAGAATAAAATCAAACTATGTATGGAGGTGAATATAGAAAGTCACAAGAGTTAAAGTTCTACAAATAAAGGTTGGAGTCCTAGATGAAATAATTCAGCAATCTTTCACTTTCTAGTATCAACAAACTAAACAGTCAATTCATAGTTTGGGCTCAATGTACTGTAGGCAAATAAAATGCTTAACAGAATTAATCCATTGTAGGAATCTGCTTCTGCCTGATATCAAGATTAATTTTCTCATTCACATCTTAGGGCAACATCTGTGCTGAGCTCTAGTTAGGAATGTAAACCATATTAATTTGAGTGGTAGCTTATACAATTTAACTGATGATTTTTTTTATTATCAGCCGTTATCTGAAATCTTCACTCTTTTTTCACATTCTAGTATTTGGCAGTTCTCTTTGACTGCCATTTCAACTTCTATTGTCTTGTTACTTTATTCCTGACTATGTTATATTTTTCCATTACATTATCTCTCTATAACTTGCACGTATTCTGTACAATATATATTGGGTTTTCTAATGTACTTTTACAGCTGTGTTCCACTGTCTAAAGTAGCTTGAGTTACCAATGCAATCCTGCATTGCTTCTGACTGCCATCAGGATACGATTCCGAAAAGGATAGTGTAATAGAATGGATTGAAGGAAACTCTACTGTTTGAATGTGGTTTTCAATAAAATTTCTGAGGTGGTCTGATCATTATCTGTGAAGTCTCAAGGTCAGGTCTTAAACAAGTCTTATTTAAACAAACTAAATTTTTTGAAAGGCTTCAAAAATACTAAGCGATACTGCAGTAATTTAAAATCAAATAAAACTTTTAGACTTGGTATAAAGTTGCTCCCTTAATTCCTAAAGATTTATGCTTATGTAGAATGAAAATGTATGATGAACATGCGTTATGTGAACATGCAGAAACAATAAAGAACATTAACAACCGTCTTTGATGTGCCAATTTTTTTTTAAATTGCAACATTTTTGCAAAAATTGTTCCGACAGAGTCTTGTCTCTAGGGCAAGATAAAACTCTGGTGACTGCCAAGCATCTTGGAAATTCTTTAGAAGACATAATCATGACAATTAAGTTCCATTTGCTTATACACGATTGGAAATCAAGCAGGAATCGCAATTATTTATAGACTTCCCTAGTTTGCATTTCGTTCAGAGATGACATTAACCTTTTTAATGCTGGATTTAAAAAAAAGTATTTTGGGGCCACAGGAACCATCTTTCAGATTGCAAACATTTCTTTAGCTCCAGCTTCTTCAGACAAATGTTAGAGCTTCAGAAATTAACCATGTTCACTTATGGCAAATCACACAAGCAATCTGAACACCAACATACCTATCATCTTGCAGCAGAATGTTTTCCAGCATTTCTATATTTTGTTGCAGGAAATCAGTACAGAAACTCGAAGCAGCCTTTTTGTTACATATTTGAGAGAAGGTAGTTTCAGCCAGTGTCCTAACCAACAATCCCATGATAAAATTGATCATTCACTTTATGACTATTTGTGAGATATTACGGTATGCAAATTGCCTGTCACGTTCACCTATAAAATACAGTTATTGCATTCTACAGTAAATCCTTTGAGGTGCTTTGCAAAGTTTGAGTGACACAATCTGCTGCACTTCCCTGCTGCAAAGTGTATTTGTGCGAACCAGATGAGGATAGGCTGCCTTGAACTATAATGCTACCTCTTTCTCCTCAGTCAAACCTTCTGACTAACGCTCATTGTCTAGGTTTTACCCATGAAACAAGGTACCAAAGGACACCTATAAGAATGGTACTCCAGCAGGAGGTTGTGCTATTATAAGATGTAAACAATTGGAATGAAAAAAAAGTGGTTTAATAATAACTACCTAGTAAAATATTTTAAAAGTCAGCAAATACCTTAAATAATGAGTATGCATATTTTCCCAGTAGGCAAATTTATGATACAGTGAAACTGTGGATCTGCTGATGCCAGACTATGTAAACACTGACCTTGAATGGTGGCTGAATTTATTGTCTGAAGGCATTTTTCGTGAACCCATTGTCCTTCAAAACATTTCTCCTTGACATTGCTCTAATATGTAACTATGCATCATATCCCTTACAAAGAGTGGAAGGCTAAAATATGTAAACTTTATAAATGAAGACAAAACGTTATGTTGCTGGATGTGAAACAAAAAAGGGTGATAAAAACACAAGGAAAAATTCAACATGCATGCATGCAAATTGGCAAGATACTGTGGGAATTCTTAATTCATGGAACTGGGCTTGCATGAAGACACAAGATTTCTTTCTGGAAGCTCACTTCACTGAACTACCCCCCACCCACCCATACAAACACACCACCAACCCATACAGGAACTCTGTCAATCATTACAGTACCAGCAAGCTATTTCTGTACCTTACGTCAGACGATATATGGTACAGAGAAGCAGGATTTGAAAGAAGTCATGTTCAGATGAGAAAAAATGTCCATCTTCCTAAACAAGATTTCATTTGACATTTCTTCTTTTTAAAATACAAATTACTACAGGGTATTGGCTTTCAACTTGCCAAAAGCTGATCCTTGGTTTCCTTCAACAAAAATAGGCATATATACATAACAATAGATTACAATTGTATCGCACTTTCATCATCTCACTCAACCAACATTTGCTGGTCAAACAAGTTGTGATTGCTCTTTGTTTTTCTTCTCAAACAATACTTGGAAACAGCCCGAAGAGCTGCATGTTCCTACATGCTTAGAGATTAGAGAACAGAACAGGTTCATTATCTACTATGCTTTACATGATTTGATTCAATTCTTGGGAAACATCATAGACAAAAATCACATCCTTTCTAATACACAAAAGGAAGAAAAACTTTTAAAATGCAACTTTAATTGTGCTTTTTGGCAGGGAGTGGAGCGTATTGGCTGTGGTGAGCTGTACATCATGTCAAAGGTTCCCCCAGTCCCACACCAGGTTAGGTTGCCAGGGAGGCAATTTCAGCGTTTTATGGAGCAGAGTGGAGCATGGCCATTACTTTACACAGTGCTCCCCTTGTGGAGCACTTCAGACGTACTACGCAAAAGACTATGGGAAACGTGTTGCATACAAGTGCAAATTGCCTCTGTTGCATTTTGACAAAAACACTCATCCTCCCTTTCAGTAATTAAAATAAATGAATCACCTACCAAGTACAGTCATGATGGTTTTCACCAGCTTCATGGGCATTTTGCTGCGTTTGATGGAACCGGTGGTGTGCGGAGAGATGATCTGAGTCTTCTTCTTCACAAATAGATATATTCTCAAATATATTGTCATGATGATGAAAAATGAGAAGAGGTTGGACACGGCCCAAAATATCAAAAAGCTCCTGCTGTAGACTGGGGCCAGAACAGAGCAGGTGCTAATATTACAGATGCAATTCCAACCCATACTGGGGGTAGCACCCATAACAGCAGCCACTGTCCAAATACCTACGATGAGAACAGAAACTCTTCGTTTTGTCAATGTACTGTGTACTTGCATTTTCATCACTGAAGTATAGCGTTCAACTGCTATAACCAGCAAGTTAGCCACTGATGCAGTCAAACTTGCGTCCAATAACCCCTGCCGGAGAAAGTAACGGTGCACAGTCAACGTTTTTGACACTGGTCCCGTATGAAACATAAGATATACGTAAGCGATTCCGGCAAAAAAGTCTGCTGCTGCCAGATTTGCTAGCAGGTAGTAAAAAGGATAATGGAATCGACGGTTTCTGACAACTGCACAGATGACCAGAGCATTGGACAAAAAAATAAACAGGCAAAACAATGAGCCGATTACGAAACCAAGAATGAGTGTGCTCTCCAGCAAATCTTCATCAGATTCCCCATTACTGCGGTTATAGAAAAATTCCATAGATTCATTGTAGTAACAGGTCATTTTTCTTCCAATTTATCTGTAAAGAAAGAAATTGGAAAAAAGTTAAAAGTCTTGCAAGTCAAGGACTGTATAATCATTTGTAGATTATTTCTATTTGGAAAGGTATTCAGTCACTAAAATTAGCTAAAATTGTATAAATGAGAATCCTATGGTAAACCTTATTGTTTAGCAGCCATCTTTTACTCTTGCAATAGTAAGAATGGGGATGCAAGCCTAGATAATCTAAATAGATTGTTGGAATGGAATGCACACTCTCTCCCTGGAGGGATTCATCCTGTTAATCTAATTCCGGAAAGCATTAAGCGAACGTTGGCAGGGGCCAAGGTTTGGGGACCCCAGAGGGTGTGTTGGGGGTACTGCTGGAGTCTAATCAGCTTAAATCACTGAGTTTGCTATTGATAACTTGTCTAGCTAGGACCATCCCTACCTGTTAGGGTGTTGGTTTACGGGGTTAAGAGGAGCTGCGTGGGAGGATTCCCTGTCCCTCCAAGTCCTGCCGATGAGCTAATTTTACAAAGTGGGTCAGTAGACCATGAGAATTTGTTACGATTCCATTTAAAGCTGCAATTGAGACCCAACTAGAAGTGTATTAAATCAACAAAGCCAAACATTAACTTATCCACAGTCCTGAATCACATGAATGAATAAGCAGAAACTTTTAAATCATAAGTTTCATTTTTCCATGCAAAATTAAACTTGGAATTCTACTAACACTTGTTCCCATTGACAATCACAAATTGCGCAATCACATTTTTTGGTACAAGCCTTATGAAAGGGAACAGTACACTTTGTCCTTTTTTTGGTTTGAACATGCAACTTTATAAAGTTAGAATAAATATTCCAACTCATCCTTGAGCGTTCCGTTCCCCAATTACAGCTCAGTAAGCCAGCAGTGAGTTGGGTTTCTCTACTGGTCCCGCCACAATAAGTGCTCATAAAATTGCTAGTACCAACATTCTCAGAGCAAGTACAAACTACAAAACTGGTTTCAGAAAACCTCACACAGACTTAAAGGGAAGTCTGTGGCAAAGGCAGGGTTTGCAATTCTTAAAGCAAACATCTAAAAGCTCATTGCAATTACAGTTATGCTAAAAAGCTCTTTAATTCACTAATTAAATTGTTCACTAGTGATAATCTTTGTGGGTGGGGGGTGGCAATTGGTGGTCCCCTTGGAGATAAAATCAGCTTGAAGGAGACAATTCCTGAGCCAGGCAGGTCTGCAGTACTCCAGAGCACTAATGATGACAGCACAGCCAGTCTGGATCATCAGCTGGACTTGAAAGGGCAGACTAGTCACTGGGGGGCAGGGAATCCTCCCATTCAGCTGCTATTAACCCTGCAAACCTTAACGTGTAGTGTGGTCCTAGCTGGACAAGCAGCGGGAAAGCTTGCCAGGCAGTGCTCTCAATGGCAAGCTATGCAGTTTTAGCTGGTTAGACTCCAGCAGTATCCCAGAGCTCCAAGGTCCCTAGACCTTGGCTCTTGCCAACCTGCACCTAAACTTTCTGTAATTGGGTAAGCAGGATATGTCCCTCCAGGGGGAAGAGTACACATTGAATTCCAATAAACATCTCTGGAATTTCCATGTATAGGTGGGATGCATTGAACTCTCTATTTGGTTTGGATACTTTTATAATTTCCTCATGTGTCAGACACTCGCCCAACCCAAAACAAATATCTTACATAGATTGTTGAGACAAAAAGTGAAGGGTAAACTTAAGTGGTGATACAATGCCAGTGCATCAATAACATCAGATCCCTGGTGAGGCTCAACTCACAGTGGCTACCAAATGCAGCACTTAGCCACTTTAAATGTTGTTGTCTCAGCTGCAGGGAAGCACACACACATCTGCTGTCTACGTGTTTGGGAGCATCTAGCAGTATTTCACAAAATGAAGTGAAACTAGGATTCATCGTCAAAAGTAGTTCTAAGAGTTCTTAGTTTTTCTGAAATTACTTCTTCTTGACAATAACATTGTTCAGGATTTTAGTACCAACCCTTCTCAGAATGATTTAGCAGACTGTGCATAGGCTTGGGTCTACAGTACAACATAGAATCTCACCCTTTTACTTTTCTGTCTTGGAAGAGTTACCTAGCCAAAGACTATCTGACACGCTTGCCCGTTGCTTGTCCAGCTAGCAGTGCCCAAATGGGTAGGGTTATGGCTTGCAAGGTTTACAGGAGCTGAGCGGGAAGAATCCCTGCCCCCAGGGACTGGGCTGCCCTTCCAAGTCCTGCTGATTAGCCAGGCTAGCTGGGCTGTCATCAGCAGTGCCCCGAAGTATTGAATAGGAACTGGATTACCGAGACCACCACAGAGGGTTGGCTCAATTCGCCTAAACAAAGATTAACAATTATAACAATAACAAAATATTTTGCCCTCTGGATACAACGACAACAAAATTACATTTGTAAAGTGTCTTTCACATCTGTAGGATGTCCCAAGGTGCTGGACAATCAATCAACACGAGAATGAGGGAGGGCAGAAGGGGTAGGAGGGCAGCTGAAGGCACAGTCAGAAAGGAGGTTCTTCAGTCATGCCTTGAAGGAAACAAGAGAGGGAGCAAGGTGAAGGGTTTGTGGGATGGAGTTCCAAAGAGTGGGGGCAAAGAGGCTGAAAGCCCGAATACCGACGGTAGGGCAAGTTGGGCGGGAGACCTGGAGGGAACGGACAGGTTGATAAGGGGTCAGTGATGTAGGAGGGGGCAAGGCTGTGGAGGGCCTTGAAAGTGATCAGGGATTTTGAATGCTATCCTCTGAGGAAGGGGGAGTCAGTGGAGCTGGTCGAGGGTGATTGGGTCACAGAGCTTGGTGCGGGAGAGGACACGAGCTGCAGATTTCTGAATGATTTGCAGCTTGTGGAGGGAAGAGTTGGGGAGTCGGACAAGGAGGGAGTTTCCGTAGTCGAGCCTTGAGATGACGAATGTGTGTATGAGGGTTAAGGTGGCTTGAAGGGCGAGGCAGAGTCGGGCAATGTTGTGGGGAAGGCAGAGCAGATCATGGCACAGATATGGGTGAGAAAGGACAGTTGAGGGTCGAACAAGACGCCCAGGTTCCTAACTGGCTTGGTGAGGTGGAGTGTGCAACCGTGGATGCTGATGCTGCCAGTGCCTGAAGTGCTGGCGCGAGCCAAAACTCTCTCTTCTCGTCGACACAAACAGAGATACCCACACCCTCTTTCCACTGAATCTATTTTCTGCATAAAACGTGTGAACATGCGGTTTCTAAGTGAGGGTCACCACACTAAAGTAAGTGGTCTCGGTCTTTACATTGAAATGCTACTATTTTACATCTGAAGATCTGATAGTGGTTGACCTTTGTTTTTTGTTGCTTTAAATTAAATTCTTAGTATTTCATTGAATTACTAAAGCTCCCATTTTTTTGCACTGCTAGTGACAAATGGGAGCAAAAAGGTCCCATTTGCAAAAAGTAGATACATGTACCTACTACCATGACTAGTACAATGCACATTGTATCATTGTGTAACTGCATGCAACACCTGGAATTGGAGGTCGTAACATCTACAGCATCAGAGAGAAAACTTGGAGTTATTTAAAATCATAACTAGACGGATAGACTCTTTCCAACAATTTGTTTCCCCCCCCTTCACTGGATGCTCACATAACCTCCTCTTCCTCCACAACAACAACAACAACATTACATTTGTATAGCGCCTTTCACGTCGGGAAGATGACCCAAGGTGCTGGACAACCAATGTTTCGGAGGGTCAAGCTGAGGGTCAGGATCATGGAGGATGGGGGGTGGGGGGGAAGGAAGGTATCGAAGGCACAGTTAAAGAACGCGAACCTAAGAAAAAAATGAGTCAAACTCAGATCTTCTCATTGTGTGTTCATGTAATAAAATTAAAGTGTAGTGAATGGAATTGAACGTTCCTGCACAGCAAGCGTTGTCAGTGAATCAACCAGGCTGCCTCCAAGCTGCCTGTCGGACATCAAGTCCTGGATAAGGGCAAATTTCCTACAGTTGAACGTGAACAAGACTGAGGCCCTCCTGACTGGCTCACGCCAGGGCCTCAGCAACTCAGGCTCGGGCAGCATCAACCTCCATGGTTGCACACTACAACTCACCAAGCCAGTCAGGAACCTCGGTGTCTTGTTCGACCCTCAACTGTCTTTTCTCCCCCCATTCAAGCCATGACCCATTCTGCCTTCCCTCACCTCCGTAACATCGCCCGACTCCGCCACTCCCTCACCCCTCAGGCCACTGAAACTCTTGTTCATGCCTTCACCTCCAGGCTCGACTATGAAAACACCCTGCTGTCGGCCTTCCCAACTCCTCCCTCCACAGGCTGCAGATAATCTAGAACTCTGGAGCCCGTGCCCTCTCCCGCACCAAACTCCGTGACCCCATCTCTCACCCGACTCCTTTGGCTCCCTATCCTTCAGAGGATCCAGTTCAAGATCCTGGTCCTCACATACAAAGCCCTCCTCGGCCTCGCCCCACCCTACCTCTGTGACCTCCTTACCCTCTACCTCCCGCCGCTCAGCTGGCTCTGGCCTGCTCCACGTCCCCCGACCCACCCGCCCCACCATTGGAGAGAGAGCCTTCAGCCACTCTGCCACCAACCTCTGGAATTCCATCCCCCAGTCACTCCGCCTCACCCCCTCCTTAGCCTCCTTCAGGTCCCGCCTCAAGACCCTCCTTTTCGACAATGCCATCGGCCACTCCCCTTCCCCTCCCCTCCTCCAACCCCAGCTCTGTCCAGCGCCTTCGGACACTCTCTCGACATGAAAGGCACTACACAAATGTAACCTTGTTGTTGTAAACACAAAATCTCTAAATCTGTTGCTTCTCAGTAAAAGATAAGGTTACCATGCAGGCATCATGGTTCTCAAATGAGTCATATCCCTGCATTACACGAGGATTTTCATGATCAATTTGCACCATTAGCAGTGTAAATTCAGCTTGAAAATCCAAGGATAGAGCAGCCAAATTGCACTCCAATTCAGCTGTTCCACTGGGATCCATTCAAACAGGTGGCTTGAGACAGGTCTTGAAGGAGGCAAGAGAAGGAGCGAGGTGGAGGGACTGAAGGATGGAATTCCAGAGGGTGGGGGCAGAGTAGCAGAAGGCCAGCCCGCTAATAGTGGGGCGGCGAGGTGGGGGATGTGAAGCAGGCGGGAGGGAGTGGGCGTGTTGGTAGGAGGTCACAGAGGTAGGGGGAAGCAAGGCCATGTATCTTGACCAGGCTCTTGAACTGTATCATCTGCGTGATGGGAAGCCAGTGGCGTCGGTGAGGATGGGGATAAAAGGGGTCGCGGTGCCTGGTGCAGGAGAGGATATGGGCTGCAGAGTTCTGGATGATTTGCAGCCTATGGAGGGAGGAGTTGGGGAGGCCGACAAGCAGAGAGTTTGAGCAGTCAAGCCTAGATGTTATGAATGCGTGTATGAGGTTCTCGGCGGCCTGCGGTGTGTGGCATAGTTGGACAATGTGGCGGAGATGGGGAAAGGCAGAGCAGGTCATGGCACTGGATAGTTGAAGGTCAAACAAAATGCCAAGGTTCCAGACTGGCTTAGTAAGGTGGAGTGTGCATCCTTGGATAGTGATGCTGTCAGCGCCTGAGGTGTGGAGGTGCCTCCAGCTAGTATAGCTGATGACTTTCCATGTGTGTGCTGTGGTCTGCCAAAAATAAATGCAGTTTAACTTGGGAAAGAGAAAGAATGTTATTTCTGCATTGCCTTTCCCCAACTGAAACAATTATTACACATATAAAGCCTGCATTATTGAAATGAACTCAATATATCAAAAATCCAAATACAAGTGAAATTAATGAGTCTGCATTGTAGAAAATAAATTTGAAACATGCTCCAGATGCTCATTATTCGAATGAATCTTCAAGAATGTCTTGTACTTCAACCATTTCTATATTCCCTACATCAACGCAACTGCAATTGACTTTGCAGGAATGTTTTTCCAAGATTAGTTTCCAACTTGGCAATCCGTGGCATCAAATACAATATACATGATATGAATTTATGTGCAGTAATTGCGTTTTACAAATGCAAAGATTATTATTACTACTCCTCAGATTGGGGATGCCTTTGAGGGATGCTATTGGCCCTCAGTGCTAGTGGCAGCTGTAAATACACTTTCTCCAGTCAATCAATCAACAAGTGAGCTCACAAAGAACATGCATTCTAACACCTCATCATCTTAAACTGTCTAAAAAGCAGGATCATTGCTGAATAATGAACTAATAATTTCCAGTTGACTGCCAGCAATGTTTATGGCAATGATAACCTAACAATACTGGATTAGTGTCCATAGAGTACAAGGAAAAGACTGTCTTGAAACTCTACAATACCCTCACTGAATTAACAGTTGTGAAGAAGTGACTGAAGATGCTAAGTGCAGATTTGTACTTCATTACCAGAAAAACAACCATGTTAGTGCCAATTCTAACACTTTATGAAATATGAACTATTACTTGAGGAAAATTTCTCCAAAAATACATTTTCAGCATTCCAGTTACCCAGGGTGTATGTAAAGGAATGTTATACATTAAGTGCTCAGATGTGTAGCTGCAAAGGAGAATCTCTTAACAATGTTAATTTTATACTTAAATCATACTCCTTTTTAAAAGAAATGCCTAAAACTCGTGCATTTGGGAAAAAAACCACAGAATGTAGTACTATCATGAGATATAGCTTATCTTTAATTCCAGGAGACACCGATGTTACACACAACAGTCTGAAGGGTTTTCTGGAACCAAAATGTATTTTAACAAAGGGATGCACCTATATTTTAGGCTACTGAATAAAAGCTCTGAGACGCCATCCGGCGTGAAGTGCACTACATAAATCCAAGTTGTTGTTACTGTATTGGCATTTTAAAGCAGTTTTGATGCTTTATTTGTAGAGAACCACACGTGAAGAGCGCTCTATAAATCCGAGTTGTTGTTGTTACTGTATTGGCATTTCAAAGCAGTTTTGATGCTTCATTTGTAGAGAACCCCACGTGAAGGGCGCTATATAAATGCAAGTTGCTGATGGTGCGGAACCTCAGGGCGTGTGTTGCACAGTCACTTTTCACTCATTATGGTGCCAAGACGCAAGGACACTCTGAAATGTAGTAAAAGATCAATCTGAAAGCCATATTACAGCAGGTAATATCATAATTCCTCTCTACCATAGTTCCTGAAACTTCACACACACACACACACACACAAACTCCCACCCACCCACCCACCCACCCAACACAGAGTAGGACTCCCAACACCAAAGTCACAACAGCAGACACTTAGCAAACATGCACTTACGTTTCTCTTTTTTGTTGTTGTTGTTGTTGTTGTTGCTGAATACGTTTGAAGTTGGGAAAAAAGACGACTCCCATCCAACACTGGGAACCGAGAACGATCCCGATCTGCAACTTGCACTCACTGCTTTCCTTTGGCTCATGTACACTCTTTTAAGAAGAGCCCCTTCCCTGAGGAGCGGTGAGTTCCTGGTCCGACTCGCTCACAAAGTGAGAGGTACGACTTGCCAAGTTTCTGCGCTCTCTCTCTCTCTCTCTCTCTCTCCAATCAGCACATTTGGGTGGTACCTTGTTGTCATTTGCTGCTCGGAAACCTTCGCCCAGTGAAGCTTGGACTTCCAGGTGTGCTGTGCAAAAAAAAGCTGTGCAAAAAAAAACTGTGCAAAAAAAAAACTGTGCAAAAAAAAAACCCCCCAAAAGGAGGTGTGACACAACACTCAAAAGACTTTGAGTTGGTTTAGACGTACGGTTTCACTTAAGAAAACGTGTGTGTGTGTGTGTGTGTGTGTGGTTTATGTGGAAAGATCTCAAACGATGGTCGTTTCGACATTGCATCCATTTCACAGAGTCAATTAACAAGAGGTAACTTGTGGAGACAAGTTCAGGCAGTGATGCGAAAAGGCATGTGCAACAAAGTCAATAGATTAGGGGCAGACACGAGGAACATGGGCATGTAGTTAGGGTGGGTGGGTGGATGGGTGGATGAGCAGGATAAACATTTCGAAATCTGGCATTCGCAAAACTGCGGGCAGTTGAGGGAAAGGTCGACTGCTCCAGGAATGTAAACTTGCCAGTTTTAAGCTAGTTGACCACGTTGAGTGCGAACCAACCAACCGACCAACTCACCCACGCTGTCCCGTTGTTCCGAGTCATTCTGCCTCAAAACAAAACCTATCCCCTCAATTTTCAGTTCATTTATATTCCAGTATTAAAACTGTAGTTGTTTCTTTGTTGAACCCCTACCCCACCCCCGCCACCGCACACACACACACCACACGCGCCGCAGTGCCACATTCTGGATCCCTTCCAAATCGGACCGTGGAAACTGCAGAGGATTCGCCCACAAAATACACGACCAAAACCACTTTACAGAACAAGTCTTATCGGTTAAAGGGCTTTCAGATGTCTCTGCAACCTGATCAGGCGCTGTATCATATTGCAAGGATGGTCAGCTACTAACCACATGGTTAAAACTATTATTATTATCTTCCCAAACGGCAAAATAAGTAGAAATGGCAGTTTACATGCCTACATAGCGATATCATCCAACCTGTCAAGTCTTCTTTATTACCAGATAATCATATTTGGCTCCTATTTAAATGAGGGTTGTTCTGAGGGCCAAACAGATCTGTTTAATCTGAAATACCATTGTATTCAGGATCAGAAATACCACTCCAAATATTTCCTTGCTCCTGCTTAGAATCCCTTCTAACTCCTAGGTGACATCAGGTGGATTCCATTTAATGATTCAAATTCTTCCTCTTCCCCCCCTCCCCCCTTTTTTTGACTGATTCTGGTCAATATAACTATGCAGATGCACTTTCATGCACTCTGGGATGCTACACTGTGTGATGGGCGCTATATCAATGCAAGTTTTTGTCCCATTAGCTATGGGAATAAATTGGGACATTCCTAGTCTGTATAGTTCTGTAACACACTGGGCAGTTGGCTTTACCAATGGAGTCATTGGGGAGCTGGCAATTGTGCAGTGAACACTTGCCATTGGACCAGTCAAAAATCTTCCCCAAGTAAAAAGGTAACCTTGAAATATGCATGCAAGTAAACATTAAATATAATCCAATGATTATCTAATGTCAGAGGGAGGTTTAATAAAATACATGTACAGAATGTCAAGTGCTTACATTTAATGGCGAGGACTTAAGTGGGTTAATGATCACCTATTGTTTTGAGAATGAGCTCATATCAGGATGAGGACTTTTGATTCTCCTGGCCTGATGTCTGATGATGTAGGGAAATTAAATAGGTCAAAAAACAAGTTTTGTTTTTGTTATCGAAATCTATCAAGCCTTTTTTTTTGCACTTATACAGCACCTTTCATACAATACAAATTTATATAGCACCGTTCACGTCAGGAGGATGTCCCAAGGCACTTAGCGAGAAAATCTGAAAGCACTTCAGACTGTGCGGTAAATAGGAGGTGTGGATTGGAGGGCCGAAGGCACAGGGAAAGAGAGATTTTTAAGAAGCTTTGACAAAGAGAAGGCGAGTGTGGGAAATAGGGATTTTGAAAGAAAGGGAAATCACCAGGCCAGAGTTGGCAAAGCAGAAGAAACAGCCAGGTGAATAGACTTGCAGGAGATCTCAAGTAGCTTCGGGGTGGGTCAAAGAGGAATTTGAAGATAAGTGTGAAGATTCTAAAATAAATTATCCCCTGGAGATAGGGAGGCAGTGGAGCCAGACAGCTTGAAATTGGACTAAATTGTGTTTGCATAGCTCTTAGTTTTATTTGATGAAACGTTACAAAGGATGAAAACGACAAAAGGGATATATCATCTGTAATTCACAAATAAAATTAATACTCAGTTAGAAATTATTAGCAGGAACATGACCAGAATTAGAAGTTTTACAGCAAAGGGTTTCTTGTTAAAAAAATATAAAAACAAAAAGGATATGCAATCAACTAGCTGATTAACAGTTTACTGTTTAGTGATTATAAACTATTCTAATGGGAAAAAAAACAGCATCTGGGTTTCCATATAGAAATCGTCCATAAAATTCTCTGATGGCCGCTACTGTGTTTAACCAGTAAAGCTTCTTAATGAATTTCCGCCTTTCCGGCTGAACAACACTAATTACAATCAATCAACATAATTACAGGGCGCTTCTACCCAGATCACCACTTGTTTTAATTTGCTCAGCAAATTGGATAGTTATTTTGGTTCCAGTAAATTCACTCCCGTGAGCCATTTCTTCAAATATGATGACATTATAAGGTCCACTGTGCTTCCTTCATTCGAGTACTTGTTTAAATTAGCAGCCTGTCATCATCACACCATCGTCTAAAATAAAATCATATCCATCATGAACAGTATTTTATATGCAGTGAAAGAAAAAATAATCTTGTAGAAAACTATTTACAACATAGGCGATTAAACAATTATCGTGAACATCCTAACCTTAGAGCATTCTTGTATTTATCAATAGTTTATTAAAGCACTAATATTTTAGATTACGTGTCTCTGGAAGACTCAGGAGATTTAATTCTGAATCTTTATTATAGAAAATGTCATTGGCTTTCCACATATTATCTAAAACATTACTTTTCTGTCAAATTAATTGGAGTGATGCCACAAAGGATCCCACTCCACAGAGAAGCCAAACAGTGCAACCCTTCTGCGTAGGTATTGATAAATTCACACCTCTGGCTATAGCTGGAATGACTAAAGTACTGAAGCAGATAAAAATATGAACCTCAGAAACTTGAGTCAAACTCAAACTTTCTCATTGTGTGTTCATAAAATTACAGTGTACTGAAAGGAAGTTTCCGTCCCTGCATAACAAGAGTTGCCAGTGAATCAACTTCCAAGGTATTGTTGTAAACGCAAAATCTCTAAAACTGTAGCTTCTCAGTAAAAGATAAGATAACTGTGCAGGCATCATAATTCTCAAATGAGTCATATCCCTGCATTATATTTGGATTTTCATGATCAATTTGCATCATTAGCAGTGTAAATTCAGCTTGAAAATCCAAGTATAACACAGCCAAATTGCACTCCAATTCAGCTGTTCCACTGGGATCCATTCAAACAGGTGGCTTGGTGCTGTGAAAGAGTGATGTGGCTTTCCCTATTGCAGTGGAGCTTACATGATCTCCCAGAAAGTGACACATGGGGCTGAACGTAAGGCTACATACACACTGTAGTTGTTCTATTATGTGGCACAAGTCCAATTCCCCAGTTGATTTTTGCTGATAAGTAGAATTAATTAGCCAGTGATTGGGTCAAACAAAATGTATAACACTGGTGGAGTTGACTTTCTTTGAACGTTGGAATGGTACTATTTCAGTGCAGGATCAAACTTAGTATGAAGAGACACAAGGCGCTGATAAATTTTGAAAATTTCATTTCCTAACTTACTATGCTACAGTTCCTTGTTTAAGCCATTCTGAATCCAAGAAAACAATATATCAGTTTTATATGATTAGCTGAATAATTTTAAGAATTGGAACAGTAGATGTTGTTTGGACTAGGTTCTAGTACTTGACGTGTATATTTGTCACCAAGCTGTAAATAAACTTAGGTTTGTATTCTGTATTATTGTTTGAATGTCTGCCTCAGTTGTGGGTAGTTAAAAAGGATTGAACAACTGCCTAAGGCAGGGGTAAAAGTGGATACCTTTGGACTGTCAAAGCAAAGTAATAAAATGGAAAGTTTGGCTTCAGAGCATTCAACTTTGATTCAAGTGCAAGCAATAATATTCTTTCCTAATATCAAGTATAAGCTCATCAAGAACTTTTCATTTTTTTGCACTAAAATAATAGCGCTACAGAGATTTTGAGATTCAATTCCATTAAGAGGAACACTTCTCTCTGATTTTTGCACTTCATAATATTCATAACAAATCTTTAATTGGAATTTGGTCATTTCAAAAAGCCTTCAATTCATTAATGCACTGTAGAAAATGTGCAGAATTATAATAATACTTGACTACACTACAAAGCGCTCCTCTCTGTTGATTTCCTCTTCTGTTTGATTGACCTTTCCGGGTTAAAGATTTTATCTTTCATAAAGAGAAAAATAAATTGCCTTAATACAGCTCAATTGGTAAACACCATCATCAAGTAACATTGCATTTCCTCAACTTCTGTCAATCATAATAACCACACAGAGTGGACCTGTAGCGAGACTGGAATTAAATATACCACTCAATCAGTGCAAATTATTGCAATATTGAACTAACAAAAAACACTCTTCTCTCTAGCTAAGAATTATAATTTGAAACCAGGTTGGCAGAGAGTTTTATTTACAAGGAAAAGCATCTCAACCTATTTCATAGTATGTTATTTGAATTAAGCCAATTTCATTTTTTCCCCTACCATCTTTCTCGCTGATTTTCTCCCTTTTCCCTGGTGTGTCAGAGTATCAAAGTTTGATTATGTCATTGCGTTCACTTCCAAAAGAAGCATTCAATAGTGATTAGGGGCAGAAATAATAATTTTATTTGCCACTTTCATTGCCTGCAAATATTAATTCAATCACTTAGATGGGTTGTATTAATTGAATGTGTTTCCTCTGAGTCCACGTTGTGCATGTGCCTGTACAATGGAAGTCTCTAATACCTAGTAATGTTAGGCTATACATCTAATGTTACACTGTACATTGGCAACAAACCATATGATCTGTACAAGCAACAGCTCTAAAAGCGTGGTCGAGTCCGATTCGATAACTACTTTTAAAAATGCGGTGGACGGGTATTTGAAGAGGACGGGTTTGCAGGATTATGGGGAAAAGGCTGGGGAGTGGGATTGACATTAATTGCTCTATTCAAAGAGCCGGAACAAACTCGATGGGCCGAATGGCCTCTTTTTGTACAATTCTATGATTCTAATACATCAGGACATAACAATGACACAATATGCGTTGAATTCAAAAACATTGCACCAATGTCACTTCAATAAGAGGCCACAGGTTTGGTCATAAATTGGTGGAACCAAAGCATCTGGAGATGATTTGGATTCAGCAGCTACACATTAGGATCAAGTTATACAGATTTAAATAGAGCACAATAAAAATTGATAAATCTACAGTGTTAGAGATAAAGAAAAGTACATTAATGGAGATCGCATCAGAGCAAAGAAACAGATAATAATGGAGGCAATGAATAAAAATGGATATATTTAAATATCTTATCAAACCAGCAGAATCCTTTTGTGTAATTATTACAAGCAGCAGGGCAGGAAGACATGGAGTTTTCAAGCAAGATCTTAGAAGATGAACCTTAAAAACTGATATGTTTGGTTACCGATATTAAGGTAAAATATTTGACCTTGAAAAAGAAGAATTTCAAAATGCAGAAATAAATTGCATTTGATTTTGCCAGCTTTAATGCTCACTAGGCAACACAGAAAGTAAACTAGTTGAGGCTCTGTGCCTTTCTTCTCATCTCAGACACGCAAACTGATTACACCAGTTACAGAGAATTATCCACAAGTCTTGTCTTGTCATACGTACCTGCTGATATTTGGTATCTCTGTGGAATCATTCAAGAAGGTGTATAAATCAGTCTGCGGAAATCCATGCTCTTGATATTTCTAGAAAATCAGATCAAAAATGCAAAGGTTGGCATCTAATGATTTGAAGATAACGTGAGAATCACAGAACCTGGCAGTTGTCCAATTCTAATCGGTAATCCAATCTTAACAAGACACAATACACTGAAATGAACAATAAAAACTTGCAACACACCAACCTTCACGTAGGATAACAACACAGAGCGCTCACAAAGATGGGTGTTGAATATCGAACAAAGGGCGAAAGGGATGGAGGAAGATGACTCCAGGTGCAGTTGGAGAGGTAAATCTGGTAACAGTGACATAAAAGAGATATACTTTCTGATTTTGAATAAAAGTATTACTTACTTTGATAGTTTCGTAAGTATCCTGAATGAGTGCAATGAAGAGGCTCAAAATCATGTAAATGAAGAGACTGATGAAGCTGTAGAGATAGAGCCTGCTAAACAACCAAAGTAAATTGCTCTTTTCCTGTAATTCTGCAAAGGTTGCAAACATGTCGTCGCCGTTGACCAGAGAGAAAAGGCATTCGGCAACGGTACTTAAATTCTCAAACTAAAAGAAAAATAAAGTAATTTAAATCAATCAACATATGTATACTTAGATGGAAAGTTCCTAATCATACATTTTTTTTCATTAAAGTAAAAGTCTCAGGACTGCGTGGAAGTTTGTGTTAACCTAAGCACATTTCTTGCAACTCAACCAAGGAACACCATCAACTGTGTCTGTTGAGATTTCATGGGAGCAACATTCCCCTTGAGTGAGGAGGATGGAATTTAAGTTACAAAAACTGCAAATACAACAATTGTTGCAAAATATATTCTCCAATTGAAATATTATTTATATCTTGTTGTTGTCCCTATACAGAGAGAGAACAAAATTGCAACAACAGATCCAAGATTAATGTGGATATCACTACAAAAGAATTACACAGCTTTACCAATTACAAGTTGAGTTTTGAATGTTATCAATCTGAATCAAGAGGTTTAGTGGGGCTAGTTGGATGATTGAATAGCCTGTTTCTGTGTCATAGGAATCTACCCAACATGATGTAACTCTGTGTGACCTTAAAATCCTCCTTCAATAGTATTGTGAACTGCTGTATGTTGATGCACATGGCAAAAAAAGTTTCATCTGAGTGGCTATGGTACGATTTGCTTGCAAAGTATTGTGAAAAGCAAATTAAAACTAAATTGCAATATAGTTTTACCACCAAATAGCAATGGGTAAACCTAGTCCTAATGCTGCCTGTTTTAGTATCAATGTTTTCTGTCACAACACTGCCATCTTATGGAAAACCTTATCACTCCCTCTATTTGTAGGAAGAACACTGATGTGCACAATTGGCTGCGCATTTCATCCACAAAACACACAGTCACTACATTTTACAGTATATTCTATGAAGTGCTTTGAGATGTCTCAAAGACATGATAAGGCGCTATATCAAATGCAAGGATTATTATTATTATTACAAAGAACTCCAACAAAAACAACTTTTTGCTCATATATGTGTCCCTATAACACTACAAATCTGTAAGTCATTTAAAATGAATTAATAAAAGATGACAATGATTACCTTTGCGTGATAAGGTCCTAATACAATCCATCCACAGAATGTGTAACCAAGGTAAATTATACCTGCACAGCAGCAAAACCGCAGTACTTTGGGAAAAGCCACTCCCATTGTTAAAATGAGCACCTGTGAGTACACAGGAAAACATTTTAAGCTCTGAATTGAATACCAGAAAAAGATTTAGAAAAAAATCATTATTCTGAAATGATCCTTACATTATATTTCTGGAAATATCCCAGGTATCTTATGACTCCAACCCAAACAAACAATGTAGAGGTTCCAAGTAAAATGCTGCAAATATCATATGTTGTGAGGTTCTGAAATTAAAAACCATAAGTTATTACACACACCTAGAGTAATGCCAATAGGTGAGTTCAACTCTTGATCAGACTAAAAAAATTGGCAGTATGAGATTCTCATCTTTGTTAGCTCTGCAATTTATCAGACAGTAATGCCTCAGTAACGTATAAAAATGGTTAGTAATCTTTAAAGTGTCAGATAACATTAAGATTTTGGAACACTTCCCAATAATCAGCCAACAACAGGATTATAACATAACCCTAAGACTGTGAAGGTCAAATATCTGCCCACAACAATAACGATTTCCTGCTTCCGTATCACCTCAAACCAGGGACACAAAAGTTTATTTGACTTTAAAAGAAACGTATTTTGTTTAAAAAGGTTGGTGGATTGCACTTGCAGAACTGCTGATGACTCAATTCTCAGTATTTTGTGGGTTTTTGCAAGTGTTTTGTTTTGAAACATGCCAATGTTTCTCAAAAACATAATGTCTTTCTTACAAAGGGCCTCCTACTTAGCTGAAGTTCCTTGGAAAAACTTGAGATATGGAACAAACAAAGTCATGTGATGGGAGGGTAGATATTCTGGAAGGATGAAATCAGATGGGCTGAAGGGCATTCTTCATCCGAACTAATCTTGTTATCTTGTGAATGGAACAGAATATCCTCCCTTGAAAGAATAACATTTATTTGAAGTAGTTTCACGTTTGATAAGCTATTGTCCACCTGTAAATAGGTTACATTATCTCTGAGCACTGCTGGATATAGTTGTCGGTGTTTGCCTACAAAAATACAGTGCATCTTGTGAAGTGTTTTCAGACGTCCTCTCAATGTGAAAGGGCTTCACAAGATGATATGACTTTGCAACTTTGCACAAAATGCGAAGTTATTGCTATAGCTCAATATCAAAGAGCTAAAATATATGTAAGGATGTATCAGAGATAAATAAACCTAAGGATAATTATTATAATTTATTCTGCACCTCCTATGTGCAGTCATACTTTTTGGATGTGTATCCTCTTGTGTCAATATAATTTCCGTATCTAGACTAGTCTTATGGCCACTTCTATATACCTGCAAGTCCAAGTGTAACCTAACAGGGGGCTGAGAGGACAGGTAGTGCACTGGCTAGAGACTTGAAGAGAAAATAGAGAGATGTGGAATCCCCTCAAAAATAAGGGAAAAAAAAGTCATATTCTAAAGAAATGTGAAAATGTAAAGAGTCTAAAGATTGTTAATTTACACCGTGTTAACACTCTTCAGTTCTCACCTTTACGGTAATCTCCATCTTCATGATGGAGCCAGTTATAGTCATCGTATCGCTGATAATGATCATGATGTACCAGCCGTTCAAAAACTCCAAACGATCAGACAGACACACATTGAAATTATATTTCCTCAGAAAGAAACTTGCAAATCTCTGGAACCACAAAGCATAATTCATTATGTGTTACATACCGAGTGGAAAAAGGAATTCCAATTCTGACCAAAACATTTGAAAGTTGTTCTAATAACAAATGCAAAGGTTTAACTCGGAAAGTAAACTGCCCTGGGGGAATCAAAGGAACCATAGCTTGCAATTAAAAAAAATCACTAAATAATGAACTTTGTTCCTTTATGAACAATTATAAAACATTGGACTTTTTTTCCCCCAATTTTTAAAAATGTTTCTCCCCATTGGCACATGTTCCTTGTTTCTAGCCTCTTCGCCCTAGGTACGGGTCCATACATACATGAGCACTGGCAACCAGTGCCTACCGGAAGAGCTATAACACATTGCTGTTTTTGTTTGCCTATCACCACACCTAAGAAATAAGTGATATTTACAAACAGCTAGTAGTTCATGTATTGGCCACACCAAAAAGCCAAGTTCCTTCCTTTTTTTTTTATTTGATCATTTTTTACGTTAAAGCTTTATAATGTACAGGAATGTGTTGTGCAGCTCAACTGCAACAAATTTTAACAGTGAATTAATACTTTGTCAAATGTTTATTATACAGTGAGGTTTGTACATCACAATAAATGCAGCACAAACATACCTTTTGCAGTGATATAGCAAGGATAATAGACCGCGTGCAAAGAATAAGTGACATCAAGCAAATCAGCATGATAAAAACGTCAAAGATCAAGATATAGTGAGAGCTCTTGGAGACTGAAAAACAAATAGAGTTGTTCTTAATCACAATGTGCCCACGTGTGTAGGTGCCAAATATAAGGCCCTAAGAAATCTAACGTCATTTTAAACTTTATTTCAATAAAATCTAATGTTTTCAACTGGGTACATTGCTCTAGTATTAAAAATTTAATCCAGCACTTGGCTCTTAAGGGTCAAAACATGTATACCTGCATTTAATGCAAAGGTTATCCCAAGCTGAATAAGTCTAACTCCATCACGACATCCAATATTTTAATTGTACAGGAATTCAAAGATTGAACCTGAAATGGACCCCACGATACTTTTCAAAGTGGTGAAAAATTTAATTTCAGCGCCTTGGGACGTCCTCCCAACCTGAAAGGCGCTATACAAATGTAATTTTATATTGTATTGGTTGCTTTGTCATGATAAGAACAGCAGAAGCTGTTTAGATTATAAGCTGAAATGTAATTCAATGGTAGGCGTATGGTTGCTTGTTCAACATAGGATGAACAGGAACAAACTATTTTAAGCAGTTACATTCATGGAAAAAAAATAACTTTCATTGTCTTGTGATTTGGAACATGGAGTACTTACGGGAGTCAGATATATCCCAGTCATTGCACTCTTGAATTGCAGCATCACTGTCCAGAAATATTTTAATGATTCCACTGTGGACTGTATTATCAAAAGTAATCTGAAGTAAATGAGAATATTATTTTTGGGTATACTTTACACTTTGTCAGGGTATAAGGAGCTGAATCATCTTCCTACATGAGCAAATATCTTACTGAAGTATTCAAGATTCTAAAAGGAATAGATTTTGAATTAACCTTCTCATTCAACAAAACACTTCAACAAACAAAGAAGTGTTTTTAAGTGCTTTTTAATGAATTTTAGGCTGAAAATTCTAATTGAATTACTGTATCCAAATAAGAAAGTCAATATGTACTTGGCTTGTTACTTGAACTTTAATCCTTAGTTTCCTTATATAATCTTGATCACTATTATTTTACATCTCCCCTATTCAACACCATCTTCACATGAAAGGGGAGGGGAGAAAGAAAACGTTTACTTACGGTAATCAAAAATTCATAGCAATCTGGCAATTCATTATATTGGAAGGCTTGTAAGTCAATTCCTTTCAGTCTAAATGAGATTTCTATTTGTACAAGCCTAAAAAAACCAATGCAATATAAGAGGAAAACAAGGGAAACTGTAAGCACAGAGGCAGCTTTATTTCTTAGCAATGTTGAACAGTCAGCATTAAATATTATTATTGTTGATATTCACAGTTAGAGATTATAAATACGCTTACCTGTAAAATTCCAAAATAAAAAACGATGAGTTGCTCATTTCCCATTTTTCGGAGACTTTATTTGCTGCAATAAGTGGCTCAATATTCAAGCAATCTGGGAATAAAATAACTCAAGTGTTATCATTTATAATAAGAATTACATTTTCCAAGGATAGAAATATCCTCCTGGTTCTCAAAGACCATGTCACAAATATGTTATAAACTGTCTGGATGAAACAGGTAAATCAGGTACGGATTTTTCAGTTTGGTGAACACTTTTTTTAAGTTCAAAGGATTCAATTGATTTATATTACAATCTGGTAACCTACCAATGGGACTAAGACAAGTGATCGCCAGGAAGCAAACCCACAACCTTCTGACCCAAAGGTGACAGTGTTAGCAACTCAGCCAAAAGGACACCTGTCAGAAATATCACACTGGTGCAATTGAGGTAGTCAAGAGGGTGCTTTATATAATGGAATGAATTATTTTTTTCTCTGTACTATTCAAATCATTTCCTTAAACATTTTTCTCACCGGTTTCAATCCTTGAATCAATTATTGATCTGTTCACGTTCTCTGAAGGTACGGGTGGACTTTTCACATACAGCTGTTTGCAGACTGTTAACGCTGTTAGATTATTTTCATCTTGTACATAACCATAATTTCCAACAGTCACATTGTGTAATTGCAGGTACTGGGGGGGTAAGGGGACAAAAGCGGAACACATATTGAAACATTTTTTGCATAGTAAAATTGAAAAGAAATGAAAGACAGAAAAAATAACATAATGCAAATATACAAGAACAATAATATTGGTTCCCTATGCATTGTATTTTTCATAATGTGGTTGCTGTGATATTGAACATAGACAACCACACTATAATAAGGTTGTCGTGTACATTTTCAAGTCAAATTAAGCTCGAATAAAATTCTGTTTTAACATACCTGATTGATTGCATAAAACATGCTATCATACACATCTTGCCGATTATATACAGCAAAGCTATTACCATCCTCTCGAGCACCTTGAAATCCTTTAAGGAAGAGGTGTTTAAATGCCAATGAGTTCTCTTCTTTAAATGATGCAACCAGATGGTTACTCAGCCCAAACAAAACCAACTGAAAGAGAAAACAGTCATTATTGAACCATGAATTCGAAAGTTTCCATCATCTCATAAACTTTCATATTAACTTGCTTTCAACCTCATCACAAAAAATTTAACCACTGAAATATGACTGCGCATTTAAAAATGAAAAATAGTAATATCAACACAGTATTAGATGATTTGTGATTACTGTAAAATATACCAACTAACAATTATCATAAACATATGGTGAATATCAAGGTTTATTGAACTAATGATAAAGTACATCACCAGAGGAATTGAACAATGCAACAACTGCAGCACAAATAAAAGATTGCACCATTACTTTGTTTGTAGCATAGAGCTTCATTATAAAGCACAAACTCAATAGGAAGGGATTCAGCCCATCGAGCATGCTCTACCAGTTGATCAGTTATTGGCAGATCTTTTAATCCCATTTACCATTCCCTTTCTCTTTAATTATTAATATTATGTAAATCGTGCATAGCGTTTTATCGCATCTTTGAGAGAACAAATCAAAGCGCTTCACAGGATCTTACTTGAAGTGTAGTGACTGTTTATTTGTGGGCAAACACGGTGGCCAATTTGCACATTGAATTGAATGAGTAACTTTATTTGGAGGATTGTTGGCCAGATGCCATGAGAATCTCCCTTCTCCTTTTGCACAGTGCCAGGAGATCTTTAATCTTTAATGAACAGGCAGAAGGGACTTCAGTTAAACATCTCATCCAAAGGGCGGCACCCCCAACAATGCAGCTCTCCCCCTACACTATATTGTCACTATATACCGAGAGCAAATAAAAGTTGATAGATTGCTGATATAAATGGTACTACAATTACCTGTGTTGTGACCAGAACTATTTTCAAAAGCTGCAAACAAAGTTTCCAAGGAAGTTGGCACCTGGCTCTGTATTTTTCACATGGGCTCATAAAAAAAAACCTTAGATCTGCTTTCAGATTGATCTCTTCGCTGGTCATGTCTGGGGATGACACTGTGGTGCTCAATAAGAGAGTTGGGTCATCCAAAGCAAATCACTTTGCAGGCATTCTCATTGCAACTTCTGTGAAGCATATCAGTTGGAACCACTCTGATGAGAAATGTCAAGAAAATCCAGAATCACTTTTTTTTATTTTGTAACAAGTTAAAGTCAGGATATTAAACATAGAGCACAGATGATCAGGGTAAACTGATCTATTCCCAATCTTTTTGAGCTCACCTGGAATGCTGAATTAGATACACTCACTGTTGGCATCAATTGATCGATCTTGCTCTTTGAAGTCTTATGGCCAGTGGCTACTAGAAAAGGATATAGTGACTTCTCTCTCTATATATATATATATGAAAATATATAAATAATTAGAGAGATAATATTATAATAAAACAGGTGGCATCAACCTAAATAGTTTTAAACAAACAAATAATACACGACTAATAACATTACTGTCGGCTGATAGGGATGGTGCTGTGATAAGGACCATAAAGAAGTTGTAGGCAAACAGTGTATAACCGGGTTTGGAGAGAGATTGTTTTTAAAAGGAAAGGAAGTCAGCACAGCAGGCTAGTGCCCTGGGTTTTAAAATGTATTTTTGTTTGTTTGTTTACCCTTTTTTTCTTTAACTTAGTAGTTTTTCCAGGAAGTCAGCTTGAAGAGAGTGAGTTAACTGTAGACACGTCAAGGCTGTTGTCAGGGCAGGCAGAAAAGTGTGGATGGAGGAGACTTTCTCTCTCTCTCTCTGATGTTCTTCTTTCGCTGGTTTCGTGATCAGTGAGGCTCCTTGAGGGAAACTGAAAGCAAAGCTGCCACCGGACTCGACCTATAACCTGGGCTCAGCAAACACTGTGTGTGTGTGTGTGATCCCAGCTGATCCCAGCCTCCAGGTCCAGGGCTGGTCAGTCACTCCCAAACCCAAAGTGGCACTGACTGAACCTTGTCACTCAATCACATGCAAACTTAGGTCACATGCAAAACAGGAACGTCGACTAATTTTTTTTTGCAGTATTGTGGATCAAAAGTCACATAGGGAAGTTTGATTAAAGAAAACAGACCGAAAAGGATAAGGCCATGCACTGTATTTGTTTTACCTAAAGTGAAGATTATTTGCTCCCTTTGAAAATCATAATGAAGCAATGGAAAGGTGTCCACCAGTAATGCTGCTTATATTACTAATACTCGCATTTGGCATAGTGCCTTATCACACCTTTGAGACGTCTCAAAAAGCGCTTCCCAGAAGTTACTGCAAGTGAATTGACTGTAAATTTTGTGGGCAAAACGCAGCATTTTTAAAATGTTACTTGTTTTTCCTTTGGGTTTCAGTTTTTTTTCAAAACAAGTAAACATTGTTATACTGAATGCCAGTGAGGTGGCAGCTCAGTTAAGTTGGTAGGACTCTGGCTTTTGAGATAGAAAGATATGGGTTGAAACCTCATATGTGGGACTGGAGTTCAAAGTCCTCATACAGACAAAAGTGCAGTCCTTTAAGAGAAATTGAAACCACAAGATTTGCTATGACACCATTTGAGAAGGGAGTTTCTCCCCATGTCCTGGCCCTGTGTTCAACTAAATTTGTCATTCACCTCCTGCCTACCTCTACCCTCCCTGCCTTCAATCATCCCGGTTTCCAACACCCTGCTCAGGTCCAAATCCCTGACTGTTCAGTGCCTTAGGATATCTGCCCAATGTAAAAAACGCTATACAAATGTAATTTGTTGTTGCTTGTTCGTCAGAGAGTGCAGACTTCCCTGTTATTACGATTGGCATGAAGTTATTTGAGATATTATGATGTGATAAAAAACATTTACATTTTATAATGTTTTAAGACATTAATTGTTCACACGATGACAAAAAAACACCAATTTTTTTCACAACTTTGTCTGGTTCATTTCCTGAAACAGGATGTTGTGACAAAGCTTGGTTGCGTTAAAACTAGTAAAATACAAGAAACTTGCTCAGAATTGTTCCATCTCTTGGACAGGAAACAAGAAAACACTCATCATCTGACACTCAAGTGAGAATACTGAATGAAGTTATTTTTTGCAATTGAGACTTCAAATTAGGCACAAGCTACATTTTGTTCATATAATGTGACAAGTTGAGTCCCATTAAATGTGGTCACTAATCAATCAAAGGAACAAAATTTTGATCATATCATTGAATTAATACTCCAGATTTAAATCAACTCGAGGACCAAGCTTGCTTCTCATTTGTTCCATTGATAGGATTATGTACACTGAGATACTCCAATGATTGAAGGGTTACTATATAAATAGAAGCTGATGTATCATGAACTTGTAGTTTAAATGCAACAATTTTAGGCTGTGTACTTTTTGCAAATTTACGCAATCATTGTTAGCTGTCTGGAGTTTCATACTGTTTAATTATTGACCAACATGAAATTATGTTTCATTACAGACTGGTACCAGAAATGCAATACTCACTTTCTTTACAAAGACCAGATTAAATATAGCAAGAAGAATATGGAGTAAACTGAACAAGTAGTTACCCTGAATGAGTAGATTAGTTCAGTAAACAAATATTCCTCTATAAAATCTTGTTTCCCTCTAGCATACAAGTAAGTACCATTTGAATTTGGACTAGGTCAAACATTTTACATATATGGCTCTTTGATGTTAAAAATAGAAACCATCATTTAAACATGGAGTGGCATGAGCAATGCTGTTCAAAATGCTCCTGGTTGAACAATGTACAGTATGAGTAACTAGTTCTGGTGCAAATACACCAATACTAGGAAGAGAAAAGTAAAAATATCTAAAGATAAACAGTAGACTTAAAAATTTATCTAAAACAAATATTTCAATGTTTTAATTTTTTTTTTTTTACACACACAAGCACAAAGAACATTTTATATAGGTTAAATGTGTGGGTTTAGCTGCAGAATTAAACGACAATACTTACATTTGATTGTGGGCCTTGAACCCTCAGCCTTCTGACTCATCAGAGACCTCTACTAACTGATGTTTGATCACATCTTTTCACAATACTGCAAAGAATATCTTATCTAAACAGAATTTACATTTTATTCTTTGCAGTATATTTGTACTAGTGTTCTGAAAGATTTTTTTAAAAAAGCCAAAAAGGACTGGGATCATTTTCTAACCACATAATTTAATGGTAAACAATCATTGAAAACAAAAATCAGATGTTTCATTTGGGTGAGTTCAATTTGACACTCATCTTAGATTGAGAGTAAAGATGGGGTTGGGTTTCAAAAACAGCAATTATGCCAATTATGGGTGAATCCAGTTAACTTTAATCATTCTATTTTTTTCAAAGTGTTCTGTGGTATGACAGTGAGTGGAATTGAAGTCCATAACACAAGCACATATCCCAATTGCTTTTATGATCATAGCTATCTTACTCAGCAGAGAAGCAAGAGGTTTGGGACAAGTTTCAGCTAAACAAAGAAAGTTCCTATTGTCAAGTCAATTTAACATTAACGTCAGTAGCCATTGGACAGATTGGCTCTCTCCCATTACTGAGATACTTAATCAAAGCTGCATGCAACATAGTGAAGAACCAAAGTGTGTTCACAGAATGATTGCTTGGGTTCTGCCTATCAAACATTTTTACTTCTCACCCTGTGCCTATATGGTTCTATTATAAAACAAAGTTCACCACATATTTACAGCACACTTGCACCAGACTTGTTTTTAGTTTATGTAGCAAGGGAGAAGAAATCCAGAATCCAAGATAGAATTATGTATTTACATTATAGGGTATGAAGCCCTCACTTTTTGTAAACTGCTATGTGATTATAGTACATAAAATCTTTGCAACTTAAAATAAAGTCATTGTGGGCAGGAAATGGATACACATGTAGGAAAGGTAAAGGTTACCTTTTGTGGTGGGGGCAACAATTGGCACACACGCGTTTAAGCAACTGCAATTTCTGTACAAAAATAATCCTTCCTCCATAGATTGGGTTGCTTAAACAGGACAATGCTAATAAAATATATTCCAACTTCTTGCAACAGAACCCATTTAAGAATTACACATTCAGTTGCAAGAAAGAACAAATTACAGGTAGAATTTCAGGAAACCACTCCGGCCCTCAGTTAAAAATTCTATTTTAAAAGTGTAATTTAGTTTTTAAAGTTGATAAGCAGCTCCTGGTTTATGCAGTTTGGAGTAGGCTAAGCAGGTTTATTGCTCTTACTTTCTCATCAATTTCAAAACACTGTAGATCAGATACATTGTGGCACTAAAAATTTTCATGGTCAAGTTCTTCCTTTAACCAATCATTACTTTCAATTTTATAAAGACATCCAAAAAGGATTTGAAAATCCCTCAAAGTTGAGTGAGGCAAGCAAAATGTTTTCTCAAGAGATCCTTTCACCTCAGTGAATTAGAAACGGAAGTAGAAGACAAACAGAAGCACAGTACGGAACATTCACATGTGATCATCAAAACTTAATTAGCTCACTTCCTTATTTCCACACACTTCCTTGTGAATTGCATTATAGTTTTAAAAAATCAGCAGTGTAGCATTTTACTTGAACATACAATAAATCATTCAAACACATGGAGAATAATTAATTTCACATCTGAAGATTAAGATCCTTTGATTTATGTTGCATTTTTTATCAATCATGAAATAAATCACTTTGTTAATCTAAAACTTGTTAGACTGGTCCAAGTTTAACAATTTGTTTCAAATCCTTCACTGTTATGATCAGGTATACATACAATTTGTTAGATTCTACATGTTAATGGAGTGATACAACTAGAAATACTATTCCACAGTGAGACTTTTAAGCAATTGACGATGCTTTAAAATTCCATTGCCACACTTTTCAGAAAAAACAATTGGCTTACTGATCTGGTTACTTTTATTTAAGAAACAAACTTGCATTTCTTAATTGTGCTACTGGTAAAGGCATCCTTAAAAGATTAGAATAAATAATTTTGATCCAAGCCACAACATATTAAAAGTCCAACCAGAATATAAAGTTAATACAGTATTACTCTCAAGCAGAAATGGTACATCAGCGCAGCACGTGGTTAGTATAAGGAAATACTCATTATGTCAACGTAGCCAAATATGGCATCACCATAGGCCAGACCAGCTTGCTTGACTTATCTAGGCTACTTCATTTTTACATTAATACTTGTGAACCACTATTTATCCTTAACATAGATTTGTTATCCAGTGCAAATTAGAGCATGTGATTTACAGCAAGCGCTTCAATGCTTAATCTCCTCATTTTCAGCAGGAAGGAATACAAACAAATCGTTCAAAGAGTACAAGAACTCAAGTTTTCCTTCTCCCGTTCCATTCAGTTACATGGTCCACTTTCCATTTTATTAAACCTATAAAACAGAAATCTTTGTCAGTTTCATTCAAAGGCACCAAATATGTGCTTCAAAACTATAGAAACATTTTCTGTTGTGAACATTGATGTCATTAAAATGCAACAAGTTTCAGCTTATGATTTTTTTATGTTAGACATCCTTGCATTAGAAACCATTTTCAACTGAATGGTAGGTATCATTGTTTAACAATGATTTAGGTAACTCAGCCCATACATTAATTTCAGACACTGACCCATTACAACAGCAGTAGAGAGATGTAGGCATCTCCTCTTCTAGTCTGAATCTGCCAGAATCTGGTAGGTCTTTGCATTCTGCCATGAAGTTATGTAAATCAGACTGTGGAAAGCCTTCCTTTTGGTAAAGCTGAAATAAATACATCACAGCAAGTTTTGTTCAGTAACCCAGTAAAGCTGACAAGCTTGATTCTGCTTTCTCAAATGTGATAGTTTTAAGTACAATGTTGCCATCAAACTCACCACTATCATCAGAAACAAACATTTCAGAATAAAATTGCAAGAACCATAATATAACAACATTATTAGTTCAGCTCTATACTACACAAGCAAACAAAATGTAACAGGAGTTTCAAAGTGTTATATTTTCAAAATACCATGTAGCAGGTTTAAAATAAACATGAATAATGTGTTAGGCATTGTGGACTGCTATATCCCAAATAATAATAAGTCAATATACCTGCAGAGTTTGCAAAGGTCATAAAATATTGGTTGATAATAGAACACTTAAAACCACTAGTATCACATTGGAAGAAGGTAATAAGTTCAATACCTTTATAGTTTCATATGCATCAGTGATGAGAGCAATAAAGAGGCTCAAAACCATATAAATAAAGAGACTGATGAAGGTGGACAGGTAGATCCTGCTGAACAGCCACACAATATAGTTTTTCTCCTGCATTGCTGCAAATGTTGCAAACATGTCATCCCCATTGATTAGAGAGAAAAGGCATTCGGAGACCACATTCAGAGAGCGAAACTGGAGTGAAAGAGAGTTCTATTTTCATTAATGTTAGCAGAACTGCTACAATATTTTTAACAAATGGAATAAAAGTTTTATTGCAGACAGTTTACAAAGAACTGCACTTTTATACTGGAGTACCAGAATATGACTTGATATTTTCTTGCTTCTCTAAAATCTTGGGAGTACAGAAACATCCTCACTAAGAGATTAATTTTGACTATTAATATGACAACGCTCAATGTACAACAATCTTTTCAGTTATGACAGACAAAATTCAAACCCTTTAATTTACTTACACAGATAAACCATACTAAGACACATGCACTTTTATTTACAGATCCCAAACACAACATGGAGTATTGAAAGAACAGTTGTGTTTTGGTCTACCTTTTCATGGTAAGGTCCTAATACGATCCATCCACAGAAACAGTAACCCAAGTAAATCATAGCTGCACAGCAGCAAAATCGAATGACATTAGGAAAAGCTGCTCGAAGTGTTAAAATAAGAACCTTTAATGAAAAAATGTTAAGAGTTATTTCATGAAATAAATACAAGTGTTTAAGGTAAAATAAAAAGACCGAACGAGGAGTACAGATCCTTTGTATATCTTACATTGTACTTTTCAAAAAAACCTAAGTAGCGGATGACTCCAACCCAAACAAGCAAAGTTGACGTCCCCAGCAATATACTGCAAACATCATAAGATGCAAGACTCTGCAAGAAAGGAAAATTAGTCTTAATCTCATTCAGAACATTTAGAAGAATAAAAATTGTACTATAGAAGAATGTGCAGCTTTGCTAATATGTGAAACAATCCATACATTTACCAATTGCAAGACAATATGACAGCACTTACATTTTATACATTTGACACAATTCTTGGAACAATTATGCCTCTGGACTAGGAAAGGCATGAATAACAGTTCAGATTAGCTCAACAATTTGGTTCGATTTCAAGTATGGCTTCAAGATTATGTTGTGTATGAGTATGCCATTTGTGAAAAAAAATGTTCTTTAAGAATATTAAAGAAATCCCCTCTTTTTAACTTGATTTAAAAAAATAATATACATAGCATAGGTATGCACCAGCCCACTCCCGAGGATGCAGAAACCAACTCAACAATGTGTCCATTCCTGTTTTTCTAACTTGGCGTCTTATATTGTCGTTCCCCAACACACAGTCCCACCACATCACCTGAACTACCGTATCCCACTTCAACAGAATTTTAGAACCAGAGACCATTTAGGAACAGAAGCAACTAAACTAAGTCAGTAAAAAAAAAGTACATTTTTTAACCCCAGATTCACATACAATATTAGGCCATTGCTCACCTATGTTATTATGTGAACTCACCTTTGCGTCTATTTCTATTTTTAGTACAGATCCAGTAATCGTCAACGAGTCACTAACAATGATCAAGATGTACCAGCCATTCACAAATTCCATTCGCTCAGACCAGGTCACATTCTTATTGTAACGAAGGTTGAAGAAGTAAGCAAACTCCTGTAAAGTTGTAAAAGTAGAAATAAAAAAAGTTACTGATAAATTTACTTGACCCACAGAACTAGACATCAAATACATTTAGCAAAATACATACTTGTTGCAGCTTTATTCCCTTTATAACAGAACGGGTGCAGAGAATTAGTGATGTCAAACAAACCAGAATGATAAAGGCATCAAAGGTCATCTTGAAGTTAGTTTTCCTTTGTGCTTGGGGATGGGGAAGGGGGGACGGGCGGGGAAGGGAAAGAAAGGGGAGGAAAATAAAAAGTTATTAACAATGCAGGACAAAGGCAGACTCTACTGGTAATCAGTTACAGCCTGCAGTTTACATTTTACAAAATCTCCAATGCACCATCTAGTGGACAAACTAATTCAACAGTGAGTACTTTAGTTTAAACTATACATATAAACTTAATTATATCAAAAGAACAATTCCAAAAGCGTAGGAAATCACATGCAGAAGGAGGAAAGAAGATAAGGAAGATAAATCAGTTCTAGTTAAGTAAAGTAGTGCTCTGGTATCAAACAACAACCCAATGGTCATTCTCCCGTAATACATACATTTCCTCCTTAAAACTACCTTTAATAACCTGTTTTACTGCACAAAGTCGTTATCTTAAAACTGTGAGGTTGAATTTTGTTATGTCATACAGATGCAAATACTGAACAGCCAATATAACGGGAACATTACACAGACCTAGATTACACGGAGGCAGTGTGCTATTGGACTCTTATCTCCCAATTCAAGGAATACAGAAATTTACTTACCAGCTCCAGCTATATGCCAGCCTCTGCATTCTCTTATGGAAACATCATTGTCCAAATTTATTTCAATTCTTCCACTGTGTGCTTTATTGTCAAACGTAATCTAAGGAAATAAAAATACAAACTTGTGCAAATCCAGATTCGGAGATCCAAACTCAATCCAAATCTGCAAGCATTACTTTACAACCGAGACTTCAACTCCATTATTAATAATCCCGTACCATGCAAGAAATCTTATCCATTTACCATAATACTAAAATAATAACAGTCTGGCAGTTCATGGCGACGGATTGTTTGCAGGTTGATTGTCTTCAGTTTAAATCCAACTTGTACCATCAAGAGCCTACAAGCATATAAAAAAGCACCACTTTTAATCCCACCAAACTTAAGATTCGAATACAAAGTTTATTTCAAAAGGCACCACATTTAAAAAAAAACTCACCTATGGAAATCCAGTGTCAAATTCAGCTCATCATTCAAAGATCCATTATGCATGGGCACTAATGGCACAATATTAAAGCAATCTGTTATGAAAGAACACATCACATCAAGTAAAAACACTGCATTGGTAGGAATATTTAGAATTGTTTTCATTTTTACAAGGATCACAAAAAGTGGCAATAGATGAGGCCATACAAATAAACTGGAAATCTTTAAGGAAATGACTAAAGTGGGTGAATATGTCTCAATATGATACTTTTAAAACTCATCAAATTAATGACAAATTGGTTGGTTGGATTGAAAACTCACTTAGCTTATATAAAGCAGAAGGTGACAAGGAATTTAGAAGGGTAGAAGAACTCGGTTTCATCCACATTTAAATGTTGCAAACAATGCGAGTTATGAATACTGAAAATTCCTGATAAACCCACAAAATGGTAGCTGCAAGAATGACTGTTTTGGGGGTATGTACAGATGGGATAAAAGAGCAGAACACTAATTTGCAAGTACCTTAAACCATCACTCCCCAAATTCTATACACATAAACATATGCTTGGTCACCTACCTGTCTCAATCTTTGGATCAACGTTAAAAGTCTCATTTCCAGGGCTAACACTTCCCCTCTTGTAAAAGTACTGACAGACTGTTAAAGGTGCCACATGACTCCCTCTCCTCTCATAAGCATGATTGCCAACAGATATGTTGTGCAACTGAATGTACTAAAAAAAGTAACATGAAATATTTGTTTATAGCTGATTGCTACACTTTAAACCAAGCACATCTAAAATTAATTTAGCTTCCTTTACCATGTTTTACATAAATTCCGAGATCTATTTCAAAACAGCTGAGGTAGATTACAATCTATTTTAAATAAAACTTTTCAATACTGTATATAACTATGCTGCAATTGTCAGATTTGAGGTTTTTTTAGGTTGCATTGCTTGGGAAAAAATTATTAAATCATTTCATTTTTCACAAAAGTATTTCAAACCATTCTTCAAAATGGTTACACAATTTAAGCCTTTGTTCGTATAAATAATTAGCTGGAATCTAATTTAAACTGATTACAACAACAACAACTTGGATTTATTATAGCGCCCTCCATGCCGGACGGCGTCTCAGAGCGCTTCACAGTAACGGATCACGGGAATGAGCCAGGGGGAGGGGGAGGAAGGCGACCAAAGGCGCGGTCAAAAAGAAATGTCTTCAACAGAGACCTGAAAATAGGAAGAGAGGGAGCGAGGTGAAGGGAGCGAGGAAGGGAATTCCAGAGCCTCGGGGCATAGTGGCTGAAGGCACGGCCGCCGAAGGTGGAGGGGAAGACTCGGGGTACGAGGAGGAGACCAGACCCAGAGGAACGAAGGCAACAGGTACTGTTTTGAGGAGAGAGGGGTCAGAGAGGTAGTGGAGGGATTTGAATACAAGGGTGAGGATCTTGAAGTCGATTATTCTATTCATGATAATGTTCATACAGATTACACGCCATACTTTTAGTATAGTATAGGAAAACAGGATTAAGAGTAGAGTCGAACCAACAGGGCAAACTATTGAGGCGTGCAATGAAATAAAACGATTCACCCACCTGACTGATTACAAAAGAAAGATATTCATAGACATCATGCTGAGTGTATACAACACAGTCGTTATTAGCGCCATCAGATTTATCTACATAGTCTTTTAGAAAGAGATGCTTAAAAGCTATAGTGTTCTCCTGTTTGAAGAGGACCACCATTTGATTGCTCAATCCGAATAGAACTAACTGAAAATAAGACAAAGACATTTTTTATTTTATATATATTACGTATATTATTATATATAAAAAAACAGGATTGAAGGGGAAAATATTTAAACTTTTGAAACATCGGAAACATTGACTTCAAATAAAAAACAAGATTTCGGTTGATGTTAATTTGAGCGTCATACAACCTTGTCAGATCTGGGAAGGTTTTTAAAACCTATGTAAAATATGGGACCTATTGCTTTTAAATAGAAATTTTAAATTTTCACAGGTTTCATCGACACTTAGATCAGCAATAAACATTTTTTTTCAGTCCTTCATTTGGCTTTGGTAAATATAGCTGAATTTATACATGGATAGAATCTTGGGTTTTACCTGAAGAGTGACCATAGCTATCTTTAGGATCTGGACTCCCAGTTTCCATGGTTTGCGACCACGAGCTTGAAATTTTTCACATGGATTCATAAAAAAAAATTTCAGTTTTCTTCTAAGCTGATCCTCAAAAGAAGGGTCATACAGGAAACTATCATCTTTCTTGAACAGAGAAGACTTAACCTCTTCGGGAGTCGAGTTGATGATCAATTCTGGATTCTCCATTTCTGGAGTAACAGGAAAGTGGATTAGAATGCCATAACAATAAGTAACCAAATTCAATTAAAAATGAGTGGACTTCCACACAGTTCACAAAGAATGATACAGCCTAAAAATAGACTGTTTAGCCTATTCTTCACATCTACACTGGTGACATTCATGATGAATGATTATGTCATTTGCAGGTAACCTACATCAACTATTTGTGCATGTTTCTAATGGTTTTGGAAATAATTTGATCAAAAGTATACAGAAAGTTTCATTAATTGAACTAATGGCTTACAAATGGGATTAAATCCAAGGATAGCAAGAAAAGTTCAGATGTATATGCCTTATATTTTTTTCAAGATTCCAAACCCACTTCTTCCATTGCAATATCAATTGGATTATACTATATTAACAAGACTATTCAACACAATCAAATAAACAGTCATTGATTTATTATTCAACGGTCGCAGAAGATGCTATTATGAGGATTCCCAGACCACTTAACAAAAAGGAAACACAAACAGAGTCCTTTTTGTAAACAAGCTAAATATTCTTTACTAAAGTAGTCTCTGAAAAGTTAATCTCATTTTGCAAAACTTTAAACTTGGGAGTTTAAAACCCTCTTGGGAAAGTTGCTAAATCATGCAGTTAAATAGTCGGTTTGATATACTATTAAACATATGTTTATAAAATAAAGAGCATTATTAAAATACATATATAATATGTATGGATATGATGTCAGTCGTGGAGACTCTCTGAACTGATCAAATGAAACAAAAGGTCACAGAAGATGCAATTCTGAGGATTTCCAGACCACATAACGAAAAGGAAAACACAAACATACTGTATATGTTATTTCCTCGTCCCAGAGAAAATGCATAAAATCGAGGTGGAAGTCCATCTCAGTTTCATACCCTGCACTTTCCAACCAGTCAGAGTGCACGTCAACCCTAACAGATTCAGTTACACAAACAAGCACTCGACTCCAGTGCACAGGGAATTTTTCTGGGTCATTGCAAATATGATGCTACGCTCAAGGATTGTTTTTATTTTAATTAACCAAAAAAAAACATGTACCACCTGGGAAGAGCAAACTTAAATGAGTTTTTTTTTGCAGAGAGAGAGAGAGAGAGAGAGACTTTTTTTTTAAAAAAAAGAAAAGCCTGCGATCTGCCACGGATCCCAGTGGTTTATAAATAAAACTGACCTTGTGTTTTGTCGGAGGCTGAGGAACGCACAAATAAAAGCTGCATCTCACACTCAGAGGGTCCTGTGTCTCTCTCTGCAGTTCCCATGTCATTAATGTTTGCACAGTGACCTCCAGTTAACTTAACAAAAAAAATCCTTCCTTCCTTGCTATCTCTCTCTCTCTCTCTCTCCTCCCCTGGATTTTATACCCGAGCCCCACAATAACCCCATGACAATGATGGAGGTGATGAAGTTGTTAGCTGAAGAAAGGCCAATTTAGCCACTGTTAAGAAGGGCAATAGAGACTCACCTCCGTCCTGCTGTCTCCAGCAGTAACCTGATAATTATAGGAGGGGTTGGGCTAATAGGGGGACAGCAGACAGCGCAGCACAGCCCATTGATTCTCTGCAGCTCTCTCACCTGCTCTCACAGCCCAACGTCACACCGCAATCTGTCACTCAGGGGCTGCAGCTTCACTCCAACTCCGCTTTCAAAGGACGTGAACGTCAGCCATCGATGCAATTAAATGCCCTGCGAACGGGAGAGGGACACACAAACACACACACACACATTGCACGACTGACGCAGTCGTCTTGGACCGATCCAGTCTCGTCTACATCAGCAGAGATCAGACCATCAAACCCTCTTGCTGGCGTCTGAAATGAATTATAAATAATCTGCTTTGGGAACCTTGACCCGCGTGTGTTCCACTGAGCATTTTACATATTTTTGTTTTGCAGAGACACGAAGGGAAATATTATTGGTGCTGATCACACAGCAAATGCCTCGGTGAAGCTGTGCAAGTCGATGAACGCACACGGTTATTGCCCACAATACTGGATCATTCACTATGAATTGGGTTGCATTGATGAATGTATTGGCTGGTGAATACCTTCATCAATAAACAATCTATGAGTTTGAGATAATGGTCCTGTAAATCATAGAGTGAGTGAGTTACTATTATTGTAAAGTTGGAATTATAAATGCAAGTTATTATTATAACGTAACAATCGATGCAAATCTAAGACGAATGAACATTCAAATTTGATTCTGTGCAAGAAACTGTCATTGCTTACGAGGGAGTTGGGGGGGGGGGGGGGCAGGTAACACTGGGGGCAAATTGAGAGAAAAACCCTACTGGCAAAGCAGCGTTGCAGGACAGTGTTATGCAAATACTGAGGTCCCTACAGTGTTCCCTGTATGTGTGTGTGGATTGAGTTGTATGTACAGCGCCTTGGGACGTCCTCCCGACGTGAAAGGTGCTCTATAAATGGAATCTTGTTGTTGTTGTATGTGAGTGAGTGTGTGGTGAGTGTGTGATTGTGTGTGTGGTGTGTTTGATGGGATGTGTATGTGTGATGGTGTGTGTGTGATTGTGTGTGTGGTGATGGTGTGAGCGTGATTGTGTGTGTGTGATGGTGTAAGTGGTGATGGTGTGTGTATGATTGTGTGTGTGATGGTGTGTGTCTGATGGTGTGAGTATATGATTGTGTGTGTGAGATGGTGTGAGTGGTGATTGTGTGTGTGGTGATGGTGTGAGTATATGATTGTGTGTGTGTGTGTGATGGTGTGTGTGGTGATGATGTAAGTGTATGTGTGTGTGAGTGTATGTGTGTGAGTGTATGATTGTGTGTGTGAGTGTATGATTGTGTGTGTGCATGTGAATGTGTGAGTGTATGATTGTGTGTGTGTGATGGTGTGAGTGGTGATGGTGTGAGTGCATGATTGTGTGTGGTGATGGTGTGAGTGGTGATGGTGTGTGTGTGTGATGGTGTGTGTGATGTTGAGGGCGTGAGTGGTGATGGTGTGAGTGTGTGATGGTGTGAGTGGTGATGGTGTGAGTGTATGATGGTGTGTGTGTGAGTGGTGATGGTGTGAGTGTATGATGGTGTGTGTGATGGTGTGAGTGGTAGTGGTGATGGTGTGTGTGAGTGGTGATGGTGTGTGTGATGGTGTGAGTGGTGATGGTGTGTGTGATGGTGTGAGTGGTGATGGTATGAGTGGTAGTGGTGATGGTGTGTGTGATGGTGATGGTGTGAGTGGTAGTGGTGATGGTGTGCGTGATGGTGACGGTGTGAGTGGTAGTGGTGATGGTGTGCGTGATGGTGACGGTGTGAGTGGTAGTGGTGATGGTGTGAGTGGTAGTGGTGATGGTGTGTGTGATGGTGATGGTGTGAGTGGCAGTGGTGATGGTGTGCGTGATGGTGACGGTGTGAGTGGTAGTGGTGATGGTGTGTGTGATGGTGATGGTGTGAGTGGTAGTGGTGACGGTGTGAGTGGTAGTGGTGATGGTGTGAGTGGTGGTGATGGTGTGAGTGGTGGTGATGGTGTGAGTGGTAGTGGTGATGGTGTGAGTGATGGTGATGGTCTGAGTGGTAGTGGTGACGGTGTGAGTGGTAGTGGTGACGGTGTGAGTGGTGATGATGGTGTGAGTGGTAGTGGTGATGGTGTGAGTGGTGATGATGGTGTGAGTGGTAGTGGTGACGGTGTGAGTGGTAGTGGTGATGGTGTATGTGGTGGTGACGGTGTGAGTGGTAGTGGTGATGGTGTGAGTGGTGATGATGGTGTGAGTGGTGATGATGGTGTGAGTGGTAGTGGTGACGGTGTATGTGATGGTGACGGTGTGAGTGGTGACGCTATCTATGACGCTCCCCCGTGAGGTCTTGTTTCCGAATGCCTTTGCTGGTGGCCAAGCCCCGCCCCCGGGTCCCGCGCAACAATTCACCCGGGCCTTGGGACTCCACATTGTGAGGCGATTGGCTGCACGTTCCGTCAATCAAATGGAATCCCCCCACGCCCCGCCCTCCGCCCCGCCCCCTAGCAACCGCCCTGGAGACGAGCGACGCCGGAAGCTCCAGGAGACAACAGACTCCCCCTTCTCACCCTCTCACCCACCGCGGGTACCCGGGCGGCACCTTGGACTGAACTGACGCTTCTGATCCTGATCCCGAGGAGGCAAACGATGTAACGTTTACGTATATAATAATAATAATAATAATAATATGGAAACGAACTAACAGCGAATTCTGGTTAACGTTGGCGTGTCAACAGGGCCGAGGGGGGGGGGGGGGGGGGGGAGTGGGAGTGGGAGGGGGGAGTGTGGGGGAGGGGAGTGGGAGGGTGTGGGAATGGGAGGGTGTGGGGGAGGGGGAGTGGGAGGGGGGAGTGTGGGGGAGGGGAGTGGGAGGGTGTGGGAATGGGAGGGTGTGGGGGAGGGGGAGTGGGTGATGAAACTTAGTCGGTTTTTCCAGCTTTTTATGTTTTATATTTCAGAAATACTTTGTGTGTGTGGGGGGGGGGGTGTGTGTGTGGGGGTGGGGGGTGGGTGTGTGTGGGGTGGGGGGGGGGGGGGGGTGGGGGGAAACAATAAACCCACTTTTATTCCCCCCTCCACCCTGACTCGGAGACCCCCAACTGATGGGTGGTATCCGCTGTTACAACTGCCACACACCCAACCCCCCACACACACACATCACCCCCCACCCCACCCCCCCCACACACACACACAAAAAAAAGTACACCCCAGATAGAGTGAGAATGACTGAAAAACATATTTTTGAATAAAAGTTTTGTCATTTTTTTAATGAATACATTCCCATGGTCAGTTCAGATCTGTTCAGTTCGGGTCGCTTTTTACCACTATTATTATTTATTATTTATTATCATTTATTATTATTATTATTACCGTTTTCTTTCATTGTCATTTCTAGTCTGGCAAAACCTCCCGTCAATTCAGCAGCATTTTTAAAAATAAATAAATAAAATGTGTTTGTATATATTTGATACACTTTATTAATAACCTTTACAGATTAAAATGAATGAGAGCAGAAAGGATAGCGTCGATTCAAGAAGTTCCACGCCTAAAGCCTCCAGAGGATTCACACCAAGGACTAGAAGTTTTGTGGAGCCAGAGAAAGTCAAACCGCTCCCAGGTGGCAAAACAAGTGGTAAAAAGAAAAAACATGGTGAGTTTACCAATAGGAACTTTTTTCTTATCTTCTAAGAGTAACGAAACGTTTTTTTTAAAAAAAAATCGAATGCAACTTTTGTGTCCCTATTGGATCAATTGGTAAAATCGCTTGAAACAGCCATATAGACCCTGTCTCTCCCCCCTCCCAGAATTAATCCTCATGTGCATTAAATTAGTCTGATCTCACCAGAGTTTGGGGGGCAGGAGAGGCAAAAATCAGATCAATCACTTCCAGAGATCCCTGCTGGAAAGGGTATATCTTTTTTACCCAATCCATTATTATTATTATTTTAATTGCAGAATATTTTGAAATATTTGATTACCTTTGATCTTTTTTTCAGGAAGGAAAGGAGAGGACATATTACATACTCCTGATGGTAAGTTTTCCAGGAATGTTTTCTTCCCATCTTCAGACAGAAAAGGTGCCCATAGTGGATGGATTTGAGGAGGAGGGGGCAGCTGGGAGGGGTAAAAGATGGCTGAACACATAATTATTATTAATATATTAGCATCATTAATTGGGATACGTTCTTTGGACTACTGGTACCCTACTGAGCCATTTTTATATTTAAGTATCTTTCTGATATTTTTATTGAGTAAATGTCATGATAATGAAGGTTAAGACCTACCTCTTTCGACTGCACCTATGATCACCTGCCACTGTATAGCACTCCAAGATACTATTCTGTGTGCAAGAGGGCTAAATAAATGCGAATTATAGTCATTGTCTAATTTCATTTGCAGAAACCTATTTGTTGAAATCCACTATTATTATTAAAAAGTATAAAAACCAAAGTTGCTGCAACCATTTCTTTAAATTACCCTGATGGGTTAATAGAAAATTAAACTATAGAATGTTATTCTTATTTTCTTGGTCACTGGTGCAGTTTTGGCCCCCAGATGTTGGGGTGTGTTGCAAATTTATAACAATCCTTGTCTTCTTTTTGTCTTCTTAAATGAGTGGGATTATAAATTTGAACTGTTCTAAAATACTTTCAATTACTTTTTTGAAGTAAATTCTCTTAGCAGAAATCCTGCTGACTCCCATTATTTAGAGATTGCTGTAGAAGTTGTACTGTATTTGATGGAAAGATTCCCTTTGTATTAATGAGGTAACCACATAAATATAATAAAACTAATAGTCACACTGTTTTTTTAGTTTAGATGGATTATCTAGTCATAAACTGTGCTTTTAGCTCACAGTAGTCTCAACCCACAGGGAATAGATATTCTTTCAAGACCACCTTCTAAGATCTAAGACTACTGTGATGAGGTGCTCTGAATGAAAGTTTGCCAGCAAAAAGACAGGGACTTTGCAAATTACTAACTCAGTGCCTTGAAATTGAAAGGTTTTTAATTTCAACAACAACAAATTACATTTGTAAAGCACCTTTTGCATCAGGAGGATGACCCAAGGCGCTGGACAGTCAGGGATCCACACCCGAGCTGGTAGTTGGGATCAGGAGGGGTGGAGGGCAGACAGGGTAGGGGTAGGAGGGTGGCTGAAGGCATGGTCAAAGAGGAGGGTCTTGAGATAAAACATTCTAAAACAGAGTGATATTGATGAGTAACAAATTTATAACAATCCTTGTAATAATAACTTGTATTTAATGTATGTTGGGCCTTAACACACTATTGAGATGTCCCAATTGTTTCCCAGGATTTTACTATGTATTTATAAATGAACACAGCAGCCAATATGCACCAATCTGGGAGATTCTTGGCCAAAAATACAAATACCAATTTTTTTGCAGGTTCACTTGAAGGCATTGTTCCTCTTTTTCTTACCTCAAAGACTCAGGAAATCTTCCATTGTATAATTGCTGAGGATATCATGGAAGAAAGGCCCTACATGTTTATCAAAAAAGAAGATATCATTCGTGACATGAATGAAAGACAAGCTATCTCCGATTTCCACCCAATCAAACAAACTATTCTTGTTGGTATCATTTTCACTCTACATTATTAAACACTAGTAGGGAACCTAGATGAAACAAACTCTTACCAATTGTTACTTTTATAAAACAATGTACATTGATGAAAACAATCTTTATTCGACTGTCAAAATAATTCAAACAAGATAAAAGATGAGTTATAACTTCTTGTATTTAAAATGAGATGAATTCTCCATTATATGTATTTGTTTGCTGCAAACAGTGGTTTTATTTTTTTTAGTGCTGGTTTTAAATTTGCTGAGCTAGGAATTGGTTTCAACTTAATTCTTCCATATATAGTTCAAGAGGCAACAAAAGTAATGAGATTATAGGAATTCAGTCATGTGAGAAAGAAATGATCAGGAGACAGCACAAATAAGGTGATTAAACGGACTAAGTTCTAAGGAGCAATTTGTATAGCGCCTTTCACATCAGGAGGACATCCAAAGTCAGCGTTTTGGACCCGAGCTGGGGGTCGGGATTGAGGAGGGTAATTGAAAGCACGGTCAAAGAGGAGGGTCTTGAGATGGGTTTCAAAGGAGGCAAGGGAGGGGATGAAGCATGGGATGGAGTTTCAGAGAATGGGGGCAGAGTGGCTGAAGGCCCACCCGCCAATGATGGGGCGGGCGAGGTGGGGACGTGAAGCAGGCCGGAGCCCACTGAGCGGAGGGAATTGGCAGGTTGGTAGGGGGTTAGGAGGTCGCAGTGTTAGGGGGGAATGAGGCCATGGAGAGCGTTGAAGGTGAGGACCAAGATCTTGAACTGTATCCTCTGTGTGATCGGAAGCTAGTGTCGTCGGGTGAGGATGGGGGTGATAGGGTCACGGAGCCTGGTGCGGGAGAGGACACAGGCTGCAGAGTTCTGGATGATTTGCAGCATATGGAGGGAGGAGCTGGGGAGGCCGACAAGCAGGGAGTTTGATTAGTCAAGCCTGGGTGTTATGAATGTGTGTATGAGGATCTTGGCGGCCTGCAGTGTGAGACAGTGGCAGAGCCAGGCGATGTTGCGGATGTGGGGGAAGGCAGAGTGGGTCATGGCACAGATGTGGGGTAGATAGGACAGTTGAGGACCTAACGAGATGCCAAGGTTCCAGACTGGCTTAGTGAGATGGAGTGTGCGTCCAATGGATGGTGATGCTGTCAGAGTCTGGGGTGTTAGAGGCGCTGATGGGATCCAATCAGGAAGGGCTGTCAGTATACCTACAGTTATAAGTATGTTTATGAGTATTTCCTGAATGCTATCTAGTTTTTTTTTTATCCAGGACTACCCAGAGGAAGAAATTCTGCTTGTGTATGATAAAGATTTTTCACATGGCCAAAATTTCTACATTGCTGCAAGTGAGGCGATGAAGTTGAAAACTATTAAAGTATGTGATCATCTATGTACACTTTAGTCAATCAGGTAACATAAAATAATGGATCAGTGCTATTTCTGCAAGGTATATGTGAAGGGGATTGAAAACAAAATAAAACGTTTATTATTTGCTTCTGACACAATTTCAAACCGCATGAAAAACATTTGGTTATGTTGCTTGAAGACAGGGGAAGTTTCAAGTTTTTCAAATGCCTAATTCTTTTGCCGATAGACTAAAATGCTAAATATAATTTTTTTAAAAATCAATGTACTTAATGACAAGGGCATGGACAGTGGGACAAGCGAAAATGTGCAAATCCACAGTTCCATCTTGTTGATGTTTGGTTTAATAGGCATCTGGCTGTAGGTCCACTCCCACCTCCTCAGTTATCTCACAACGGGCGAGTCTGGTTCGCACCCCTAGCTGCCACTGAACTTGCCTCCCAGGATCACCAGTCTTAACTTGAAAAAAAACTTCTGTTGTCCAATAACTTAAGATAAATGCCTTATAATCCAAGTCAAATTATATTCTATTTAGTGTGAACCGGTTCCTTTAATTTTATTTCTAATTTAAAAAGCAGCACAAGTGGATGGAGACATGGGATTTAAAACCCATGCCACAAAGGACACTAACCTTTGATCAGAACCACCCAGTGCTGGATACAGTGGAGAGCTGAATAGAGCTGAAGAGCAAAGAGGTCATGAGAGCTCAAACAGCCTGGCAAGAAGTAACGTCTAGACAAGCCCATTTAGTGACCCACCAGCGAGTGACAGTCACCTGTGGAACTGCGCTGGCATTACAGTCAGGGTTTCAGCATAAGAGGGAGAATTAAGGTGGAAATGGTAAAATATTAAATGAGTCTGAGAAGCCGTCATTAAGAATTCATGATTTCTTACAGATGTTAGACCAGAAAACTGAGGAAGAGGAAGAAGCTTATGTAACCAAATTCTCAGATTTCAAACCCTGGGTTTCTTTGGGCAGCGGAATTGAAATTGAACATGAAATGGTGAAAGAATCTGAAACTAAGGTCAAAGCTAACATTTCCTTTTACTCTTGTATTATTTTTAAGTGAGAGCACAGCCAATTCATTTAGAATTCAATGATTGTTGTTTCTTAATTTGTAGCTATCGTCCTGACAGAATGGCTAAAACCTATTCTTCGCTCTGTGTCAAAAATTGCTTTACAAACCGTTTGATATCTTTTTGAGAAAGTTACTCTTCATCCTCAAAAAATGCCATAAAATCACGAGAACTTTGTTTGCAGTAAACTTACAATAAACAAAGTAAGTAAACTTTGTTTACAGTCACTGTAAGCAAAGAGCTTGAAAGTGAATGAGAATGACAGGGGTTCTTTGCATGGAGTTGTCCATCAACAACCTGCATTCATACAGCACCCTTCACGCCAGGTAGCGTCCTGGAGTGCTTAGTGAAATGAAGTGTTTGTTCTGCACTGTCACCTAGAATGAGTTTGGGCATTTATCAAGGAACGATTTTAAGGCCATTATCCCACCCAATTGACCAGAACACCAGCGCACCCAAATCAAAGATACCTTAAAGTCGTGTATCATTTGGGTGATATATTTGTGTGATTAGATTGTCTTGAGAGACGTATCATCAGTTTCACTGTTGATTCCTTCGCCTTTGTATTTGTTACTTGTAATTGTGATTACAAATATTTTATTTCTTCATCACAGCTGAAGTTTAGAATTTCACGAATCCGCAAAGAGTTCGGATCCAAAGTGCTTTTTACTGATCGTAGTGCATCTGCGGCAAAGGATAGTTATGTGGAATGTGCTTCCTATCCAGACTCGAGCTTCAGCCTTAAAATGATGGAGAGGGATGTGGGGGTACAGGCTGTTGCACAGTTGCAAGAAACTAACACGCAGACTAAATGGTGAGTTGCCACATGCTTTCTTCCAGTGTAATATAAGTATGATTCATAAGCCTATGTTGGAGTAAATACTATAGCTCGTGTATGTAGCTGATCAGTTCACTACAAATTAAATTTTACTAAGGGGCATTTTCAATTAGAGTTGAAAATAGTACCAACCTATTTGGGGGTGAAATTCCACCAGTCAGTAAAGTTACTGATGTTGGTGTTTACTCGTATTGGGGTTTCTTTTCCCCCCATCTGCCATCACATTGTAAGTGAACACATGCAAACCTGTAACTTCATGAATCAACAAAATGTCATCCCGTTGCTCTGTGGACAAAATGAGAGTTAGCAGTGCCCATAGCATTGATATCTCAGAAGAAAAAATGTTTCAGATTTTGTCGTATTAAAACATGAGCGTCTATGATGTTTCAGGACTTACCCAAGGAATGCTTGCACCCAGAGTGTGGCTCGAGAGTTCACAGAGGAGGGGAAAAAAGAACATTTGGAAAGTAAAGACTTCAAAGATTTCATCAACTCGGTTTCCTTAAGGTACATCTGCAGATCAGTTCAATATGTTGCTCTTGGGAGCACATACCTGCTGTGCACTTTTTTTTTAAAAAGGCAAGCATTGTAGAATTAGATATTTCATTTAAATCCTTCACCAGCACTTCGCTTGCATTTTGTGCAGATTATATTCATGGATTAGAAACCAAATCAAGTAGGTACCACATGTTACTGAGTTTTACAGATAATCAAAGCATGGGTGTGTACAGATGTAGCCAATGTCAGCCAATGCAGTATTGGAGGGAATGCTATTATAATAATCCTTATGTTTGATTTAGTGCCCTTTCAAGGTGAGAGGGCTTATCGAAATGCTCCACAGATTATATTGTAAAGCATGTTTTGCAGCTCTCGGTGTGTTGGCCTCATTGCTTCCCACCCAAAAGAAGCCTCAATTCATTTTTCTGGTCACTCTTCAAGAAACTCTAATATACAATTCACAAGTGTTGACAAGGTGACAAAAGGATTAGGTTTCACTGTGATGCTGGATAGTCTGTCTGACCACAGTCACCACCTAAGTCCACATAGGAAGAACAGTCACTTGAGTGAAGTACCTCAGAGGTGCTAGGATCTGTGAAACCGTACATACACCAGTACAAGTTATGCTCTTCAAGAGAGTGAGGGGGAAAATTGGAGAGGGAAAGTAAATACTTGACAATTTTGAAATCACTATAAGGAAGGCAAAAAAATACCTTACACAAGTATAATTTTTAGTGCTGGTAATCTCAACAGAACAAATTGCGTGTGTTTAGGGACTTGTCATAGTATTCTACGGTTTAGTTACATTTTATGTTGTTAGCATTAATTACGCTATGATGTGTACCTCTTTGAGGACAGGTTTGAAATAGCTTTGCAGCAAAATGAGATCATGGATGTGTTCTACAACGACTGGAAAGGTCTTTCAGATGAAGAAGCCACATTTGGGGGAAAAGCAGACAGCCACTTAAAGGAGTACCAGTCCTTCACAGACATACGCCACAGCAAAGGAAAGCGAATCAGCCACATCGAATGGCATCCAATATTCACTGGTAATAGCATAACAATTGGATAACAACAAATAACAACAACAACTCCACTCAGGGTAGCATCTCAGAGCGCTTAACAGTGGGGGAGCCAGGTGTGAGGGGGAGGTGGCCGTAACATGGTCAAAGAGGTAGGTTTTCAGGTGGGACTTGAAAAAGGGAAGAGAGGGGACAAGACGGAGGGATTGAGGGAGAGTTTTCCAGAGTTTAAAGCAATACAAGATAAAGCAATGTATTGAAATCATTTTGTAGTTTTATTTTCAGGGGTGAAGTTATTATTAGTTTTTCCTAAGTGCATTAAGATTTTGTCATTGTGACCAGTTAGAATTCAGCCTGTAAATTGACCCTTGGGCAGATTAACAACAACAACAAATTACATTTGTATAGTGCCTTTCACGTCAAGTTACAGATTACAGATATTCTATAACAATTTGGAACCTGGAGAAAAATGTCCCATTCACTCAAATTTGATTGAATACTTAAACTTACTGCACCATACTTGTAGAAGCAAAAAGCAAAATGTTTGATGAAAATATGTGGCATTATCAGCAATTACTGTCACATGTAGATGACAAAAAAACCTTGAAAATATATTAGTCATTGAAATATGAATACAGGTTAATCCATTTTATAACTATTCCTAAAGCAATTTTTCATTCAATAAACAGTTGAAGGAATAATTTCTCAGAATAATTAGATCACTGTTCTCTTATGGAATATCAACTCCTAAAACAATGTTGTAGAATTGTATTGTACATAAGCTTTGGCAGGTCTTCATTGTTCTAGATTATCAAATTATTTCTGAAGAAATAAATACTGAAAGATGTTCAACCATTATTTCACGGGTGGATAATTTGATAATCAAGATAAAGTTTATAGTTGTTGGGCTAGTTTAATTCTAGGTTTTTCAGCTGAACTCAGGAGTTGTTCTGTTTCTGTTTATTATCAGGAATAGTTGCCGTCTCTATCGTGGAGAACATTTCCATGGAGGACAAGATTAACTTAAACATGAAACCATTTGCAGACGCTTCATATATTCTTTTCTGGAATTTTAATGATCCCATAAACCCTCAGGTATACAAAGATCCTTTGCATATTACAGGTGAAATAACCGCTTCAATATTTTAAAAAAATTAATATGTGTTCAGTAAATTGTGTAATTTCTCACCATCCACTAGATGGTGCCCAGAACAGTGGCTAGTAGAATACAGCTTTAAAGTGATCAGACATCCAAGCAGAAATTAGTTTGAAATCATTCTGTTGATGTTTTAAAATCAATTTGTACGACTACATTTACATATAAACTTATCAGTCAAGCATACGAAGCACTGAATTTGAGAGCAGTGGTAACTGTGTTTCTCTTCTATGCTTTAGGTAATCCTGGAGTGCCCGGAAGACATATACAGCTTTCAGTTTTGTCCAACTGATCCAAATGTCATTGCTGGAGGCTGTAAAAATGGACAGGTACTTGTGTACTTTCTTGTCAGCTATTAAATCCAACAACAAGTCTATATCTATTCTAAGATTGTACTAACGAAATTTGTTATATTTCAATTTAAAACGGATTTATTGCAGAAATTAGTGTTTCTAATTAATTTTCACCCACACAATTAGACAGTCACTGCACTCTACAGTATATTCTGTGAAGCACTTCGAGATGTCTCAAACATAATAAGGCGCTATAATCAAATGCAAGGATTAGTATTTATTATTATTCTATCAAACATGTTTTGTGACCATTGGTAATTACTTTATGCAATATAAATAAGCAAATAGTCTCATTGTATCTGCTGTGTGATCACGCTGGTTCTGTTTTTATCTCTAGGTGGTGCTGTGGGACATCTCTTTATTTCAGGACAAGTTACACAATAACAGAGCTGGAGGGAAGACCGATGTCAAAGCTAACTTATTGGTGAGTGTCTGAGAGGCCTCAGAATTAATTCACTTCAATGGAGGGCCAAATGATGGAGGACTTTTCACAGTAAGGCACAGATGGACAGCAGATGTTCTAGATTAAAACAAATTTAACAGGCAGCTCAGCAGATGTGAAATTCAACTGAGAGATACTTCCAGAGCATGTTTAGATAACACGTGAATAAATGCCTCTCCAGAACTTTGTCACACAGTCAAATCAATCTGCTGCACTGAAAATAATGAATGTGTTGTCACTAAAGTAGCCTGCAATTCTGGGAAATAGGACAGAGATTAATGACAGTGTTTACGATGGACGGGTTAGTGCCGGGTTCTTTAAAATAAAAAAAAGTTTCCAGATCTGACAGTTATAAAATATTCAAATATTACAGACTGAAGTTCCTGTCTAAAAGTGTATGTTTTAAATCAACCAGTGCTGCCAGACCTTCCATAGGCATGATCATCTTCAAAATCAGTGAGATGCGGTTGGCTTGCCAGCACTGCACTTCATTACGAGAACATTAGCACCACAATAGTATTCGTGCTTAACCCAGGTTATTGGAGGAACATGTGAACCTCAGGATACTGGAGGGAGAACAAATCTGCTCAGATTGGCAGCAATTTAAATATTTTAAAGAATATTCATTATTTTGCTACCGTGATGATCTCAGTGAGTTTATCCAGTAAGTAACAGCAATACAGAGGTGAAAGATCCTGGGAACAAATCCTGCTCTACATTGAGATAGGTTGAGATAGTATGGGAGCAACAATAGGCCTTCTTGCCCTAGGATTAAGAGAGGGGGGGGGGAAATTAGCTAGAGCTCTACTCACTCCTGATAACTCTGCATTAATTCAGTCTGCTGCAAGGTGTGCTTAGGTAATGTGCGAAAAAAGAATTAGGCTCATCTGAGAGATCCCACAGTGATCACAAACTGTTAGTTTACCTGGGTGAGGAGTACCAGAGCAGTGAATTCAGCTGCACTCATAGAAATATATTCCAGGAGACAAAAATAAGTCAAATGCTTTTAGGAGAGGATGGTAAGGGAAGGGGGAAAAACATGCGTAACCATTAATATTCCTTGATGAGGATTCTTTTCAAAAGATTTTGTGAACAAATACTTTTCCATTTCATCAAAAACATTTGAAGCATTCCACACCCAAAGTTAATATTATTTTATTCTAAACTGTTAATCTGTGAAAGGCTTGAGCCGTACAACAATTGAAGTGGTTTGTACCTCTCACAACTGACATCTCAGCACAGGTGTTAACTCCCAGGTGTTTTGCCTGAAGGTAGGGTTTGGTTTTTCTCTTCATCTCCCAATCTAATGAAGTAACTTGCTAGATAGAGTAAATGTGATACTTTATGCCACCCAGAGAATTCACTTCCATTGTAGTTCAACTGTACTGTATTTTTTCCTTGGGTTGAGAGACTATTCGTAGAAACATTTTTTAAAAAATTCTAAATAGTGAATTGAAATATAAAATCCAGAGAATTTGATTCTCTTTCACTTCATATATTGGATTTAAAAAAAAGAATTCTTCAACTGTCAACAAGTTTGGTTATATGACGGCACACTGATTGAACACTTGATTCTCTCAGTAGCAAAGCTGAAATGTTTAAAGCTTGTCACTAAGCAACGGGGTGTTATGATAGCTTTTTGGCCTTTTGGTAAATTTAGTGCATTTTATTACCAACGTCTTACTGTCCTCATGAAAACTATTGAAAAGTAAGCTTGCAGTGTGGGATTTGGCTTTGGCTGGCAAGGTTGAGGAGACAGCTACACACCGTGGTGTCTGCTTTGCATTATTGCAACTTTAAGTGTTCAGACCAAGTTCATCACCAAAAGACACCTGCCCTTTACGAGGACATTTTAAACTTAATACTTAGTTTTCAACATTGAAGCAGAGAACGACTGAGTGGATCTCCTGGGCTGCAAACCCCAAACTACTTCCAGTCAAAATCTGAGGCTCAAGCACTTGAGCTGTCCGCAGGGTGTTCCAGCTAATCATACCTGCCCTATTGCCAGGAAACCATTCAAAGCTGGCATCATTACACAAGTTGTACCATCTTTTTTTTAAAACATCTGAATAACTAAACTGTTGTATTTATTTTACTTGTAGCCTGATCTTGACGAAGCACAGATGGAGGAGTTACCCGTTGTTCGATACTGTGCTGTGTCAGCAATAGAATATAGCCACAGTTTCGCCATTACTGACTTATGCTGGCTCCCAAATCATTTTGAGGTAAGGAGATGGTTTTATTTTTAATTTATTTTAATGAAAACAGTTTTTTTTTGTTACAATTTTCATTCGGTTTCTTCCTGCCTCCTCCCTCAAAGCCTTCACTGTTATGCAGTTCCGATTCCTTGCCTAAGTGTTCATTTTTCTGTACAGCGAGTGTTGGAAAGCATCACAGCCAAGTCCAATTCTGTTCTCACTTGACATCCACACAGATAATGAAAACTACTGGATAGTAAGCAGGAGCAGACACTTGGCTACATTTTCCTTCCTAAATCCAAGGATGCTGAAGTTATTTGGAGTGCTCCAATTACTACCCTAGCAGAGATCAGCTAACTTAGCACAGATTATAATAATAATCTCGATAACATTATTTTACCCACATAATATAGTCAATTCACTTTTATAATATATTCCGTGAAGTGCTTTGAGACATCTCAAATAATAAGATGCTAAATCAAATGAAAGAATTATTATTAATAGTAATAATTTAGTGCCTTTCATGTTGAAGGACATCTCAAAGCGCTTCACAAGATGTACTGTAAAGTCTAGAGGCTGTGTAATTTTGTGGATGAAAAGATTAAGAATACAATTCTTGACCTTCTGTACTCTATGGCTTAATGCTGCAGTGTTTTATTCACTTGACTGTCAGGGGGAGTTAATTTGCAATGCAGCTACAGGACAACCCATTTATAGCATGTTTTATGGGGTCCATTCACTCAGACTCATAATTTGGGTTACAAAGTTGGAAATTGACTGATAAAGGCATGAACATCTTTTCTTTCCCTGTAGGTGACAAGGCTTGGTACTCCTTCTGAGAGTAAAGACCGTATTTGTGTTCAACTCATCACATGCTCTCCTGATTGGTAATTTGTTTTTTTCACATATAATTTATTACTCCTGTCACTTTGCATCTTTTATTTTTTTTCCGAAGGCTTAATATTTTGTTCTTTCATTTAACAAAATAGTTTGAACCCATTTCTCCTCGATCATAATTCACTGCCAATCACAGCATTGTTTTAAAAGAAATACCTGCATATTTCCACAGTAATGTGTTATTTTGGGACGTTCGACACCCAAAAGTCTTAGCACGATCAATGCTGGACAAAAGGAAAGGAGATGAAAAGGAGCTGGAAAATCCTGATGGAATACCCGATACATTTAAGCACCTAGATCTCTGCTGGTCCCCTCTACTTTCGGTATTGTAAATATATTATACACACACACACAGACATTTAAATAATTTTCTTTCATTTGCAATTATATTTACAGCATTTACTATTATTCTCATTCTCTCATGAAATTGGTCCTTGATGTTGTTGGAAACAAACACTGTACTGGCATAATAAATAAGCCAACAGGATTATCTTTGAATAGATGCTACATTTTCAAATTAGTTAACTGCATTTAAAATGAATACTTTCAAGGGACTGAGTTCTAGATGAAGATACTGTCAGAGACAGAATTGCATAAATAGGAGAAATATTGCACAATTGTCATTGTGGATAGACACCATGTTAGAATATTCACAAAGTAGCAGCCTTGTGTCTGGTAAGAGCAGAAAGGTGTGACACAAATAAAAGAGACTCTTACATTGCTTCAGTCACAGTCTGGTTAATGACTGAAATCCTAGAATGTCCCTTTGATGTTGCAGAGGATGGTCGTGATGCAGGGTCCTCTTCAAGTCAATTGGGCTGTAGACCTTTGGGCTGTAAGAAGGCTATTCTAGTGTTTATCAAACATTATTAATGGAATAAATTTTTAAAGTTGTGTGGAACACTGTCATTTGTTAATAGTGACATGCAAAGCTAGGTTTGCTTGAGGCTTCCTACCGTCGCCCAGATATCCCAGTCATTTTCAACAGTAGTGTGGCCCAAATAAATCAGTTCAAGTCGAAACTGAGATGAGAATCCAAGCACAGTTCCAGAAGGTCAGTCTGACACATACCAAGTTCCCTCACAACCCAATCAATACCTATTGAATAAGTGCTTTGTTCCCTGGGTGTGTTTCAAATGACAAGTAAACCTCCAGGAAAAAATGGTAGTATTATCAATAAAGAGGGCTTCACTTTGATTTTCTCCAATTCATCATGAAAAGGAGAAACCTTGCATTGGTGATAAGAGAACAAATGCAATCTCCTCAAAGGGGCGATTGTCCAGTTCAGAAACATGCCAAATAATCTGTTACTATATATGTTACTGTAACTATATCTCACTATCAATATCCCCCCCTATCAACAGATGACATTACCTAGAATTGCGAACATTGGAGAATACAGTCCTTTGAAAATCAGCATTGGCGAGAACATCAAGGAAAAGGTCCATGTTGGTAATCTTACATTTGGTACCATTTCAATTACAATACGTTTAGAAGGCTTAGGAGCCAGATATCTATCCATGTTACACTTCTGGTTGCTTCCATGATCAAATAAATAAATACCTTTTCTTTCAATTAAATTACCTGAAAATCTGAAAAATGTTGTTTGGTCACTCATTTGGCATTCATTTGCTCAAGCGTCATGGCCTGATGATGTGCTGGTGTCTTATCGCCTATTGAAAGAGAACTTCAAACAGTGATGACCATGACAAGAGTCAGTAGATTATAAATCTAAATCATTTAATTTACATCTTTTCAAAAGCTGAGGCTGCTCTAATGAAAATTGCAGGATTTTTTTTTAAAAAAAAGGCTGCAAATCAGCTTCTGCAGCTGTACATTGGAAACTGAAAACAAATCCAAAGTTCAGACTCTTATTCTCCAAAATATTCAAACAATGCAATAACTTGCACAATAGATGATTATATTTAGAGATGAAAGCTGGGAGAATTTCCTGTGATGCTACAAAGGTTCAATGTTAAATTTACACAATTTGAGGTTTTAAATTTATCTTAGCTATTCTGAAGTAACCCAGTACATACATTTCAATTTCTTACAGTGCACTATTCATGTTCAGCTTAACATAATCCAAAACTAAAATTTGGTATTAATGACTAAATTTTCAGACTAAATGGCTCTACTGCTTTTCTTTTTCAGTACTTTTTCTAATTTAAAATTTGATCCATAATTTGAAGAACCTGCAATTTTCAACCTGAACTTTTCAAAATGACCTAAGTCAATAAACAGAAATCTTATGCTTTGTAGAATAGTATTTTTGAACATTTATGCTAAATAAAAAATTAAACTACAAAGTTACCAGAGATAAAACTCATTAACTCTGCCGCGATCATAAATAGTGAATAAACAATAGCTTCACTCATACTCAACAAAAGTGTCCTTATGGTGTACACCACAAGCTCTGAGTTTTAATGTTGTCATGTGGTGGAAGATCCAACACAGAACAGTTTATTCTAACTGTAGGTCAACTTTATAATTGGGAATATAACAGTTTCAGTCCTGAAAAAAATATCCCGTAGTGTATTTTCGAGAATTGCATCCTATTGCTGTGTGCAAGATTGTAACAATTAGGGATCTAATGTATCATTCTTGTCCCAAACAATAGCTCATAAATGGAAAAAACACTGGAAAATGTAATCAAAGATATGGCAGTGCTCAAATAAATACAAGTTCAAATTCCTAGAATACTACAACTTTTTTTTTTAAAGTTAGATGTGTTGAAAGATCCATTTTTGTAACAGTTATTCCGGTCTATTTAAAATGTTAAATGTTAACAAAAAAAGTTAACTGCACTCCTGCCAATAAATAAACATCTTTTATACAGTTTGCAGAGATTATATGCACTTTCCTTGTCTCCCTAGATAAACCAACTCACGGTAAAGTGTTCAACATAAGTGTGTTGGACTACTCCAGCCTTCGTGTTCCCTCAATCAGAAACCTGAAAACCCTGGATAATATTAATACATTTTCCTTTATAGGAACAGAAGTAAGTTTCATCATCCTCATTCCCAAATCGAGAAATGCCTGAAAGGGAATAGAGGACCTCAAACCATAACAAAATGGGCCCTTGTAAATTCTACAACTTTGTCATTGTTCAGACTCCCTTTGGTCTGAAAGGCCTGCATCTCAAATACTTCTTGGAACATAATGGTCCATGGAATGTCATCTAAGGATCTGGCTAGATCTGAATAGCGGAGGCTTAAATGTAGATAGCTTTACAAACCATCTTTAAGGTCTTGGAGATTTTTTATTAGAAAATATCCTTGGATGATTACATAAGTAGAGACGGAAGAGATTGTGGAAGAAGTAGATCTGATGAGTGACAAAATATATAACAAAGTAGATATCTAATCTGTCTCAAAAGTATGCAACTCATTTTGGATCTATTATACTAGGATGGTGAAATTGTTTATACAGACTGGCGGGTGGAAAAAGACAGCGATACGGGAAAACTGATTAGTAAGTATATTTTCTGAATTCTGTGGGGGGGAAAAATTACCGCAAATTAAATATTGTTGTTAGATGGAATTTTATAACCTTTAGGTCTCTGGGAACTCTGGCATTGGTTTCTGACAAGTGTTTTATGGTGCAACATGCCTCTTGGAAAAATGAGGCTCACATCTGAACTCAGATCATTTATTTTACAACTTTAATTAATTAGGATATTACATATGCTACCAATTAGGGTATTGTATTTGCCTATAAAATATAGCCACCGCACTTCACAGTATATCCTGTGAAGTGCTCTGAGACGTCCTGCCGACGCGAAAGGCGCGATATCAAATACATGGATTTTTTTTAAAAAGCTGCTTTAAATTGAAAGCAACAGTAAACAGAAAGATAAATTCACAATACTGGGTAACATGTTCAGCCAGCAATATTTCAACCCGTCAACTAATGCTCCTGAAACATCCTTTTGCGAACATGTATGCTTTTTTAATTTTTTTAAAACGTTCCACTGATCTGAACAAATTTCATATGTTTTATTTTTCTATTTGTAAATAGCTAATTAAATAATTTTAGAATGACAGAAAATTATCAAATATAGAAACATAAATGATCTTACGAGTCTTTACTTTACAGAAATCCATAAGAAATTGTTACCTTTTTAAAAACGTTTTTTGAGAATCCGACTTCCTTCTGTAGGTATTTAACAACTTCTTTACCTGTCAATTCCCCAGGTCCTTCGCCATCTCACTGTTTTTCAGTCCACGATGGTCCAGTAGAGATTGTACAAAGATCCCCTTTCTTCAATGACATTATTCTGTCTGTTGGAGGTTGGACATTTGCCATTTGGAAAGAAGGTGTTTTTGTAAGTAATTGTTGACTGTTTTATTGATCATTATCTATAGAACAAATGTGAAGTCTACACACATTTTGATTTAATTTCAGCTCTATTGGTTAACGGAAGCCAAAAGATTTGAAAGATTTAGAAAATTAAAAATTCAGTTTGTATAACTTTAATGAAACCTTCCAAGTCTGATGTTTCCGCCATTCCAAATACGTTTAATGCTGTCCTAGTATCTTAAGATGTAGAACTCCTAATATCCTCAATCTTCCCTTCCTTCTACAATTGATGCATTTTAAGCCCAAAGTTGCCATCACCTTGTCACTTCTACACCTCTTCCACTTTTTCTCGCCTCACCTTTTTAATCTCGATGGTGTAGTGGATCTTGAGGCAGGTTTCCCAATACAAATTCTAGTTTTCAACTGAAATATGGTTTAAGCTGAGAAGGAACTTTAAACATACCGAGAACTGTTATCACAAAGTCAAACCTGACAAATCCATGGGTTAATAATAGATAAGACTAGAATCTGCAATGAAAGGTAGCGAGCAATATTATTGTTACTGTGATGTATTTTTGTATCTATTGTTTCAGATTGGTCCACTTTTCCATTCAGCGTGCTCTCTTAAACGGTGTACTTCTGGACACTGGTCCCTCTCGAGACCTGGGGTTTTCCTGATTGGAAAAGAGAACGGGAACATTGAAGTTTGGGATCTACTGGAAAAGACACACGAACCCTCACAGATACAGAATATCTCCTCGGCTCCAATAACTTGCATCAAACCCTCGATTTTCTCGCGTATGTATCATACTGGCAAAAAGAATTGGTTCCCAATCTGAAGTTGAATGAACTGTGGATCATATTTAATGATTATGAAAGCTGTATTCTTGCATTGAATTACTGGTTAGATTAATACTGTAGAATGGAGATTTTTCTTTTTACCATAAGGATCAGGGAGGAATTTTAGGATTCCTTGACGTAACAGTTATTTACCAGCCCTCGTGAGATTTAGGAAGAGACCATAAAATTCCACACCATACAGGACTTTTAGAAGTGGTGTACCTTTTCGTAATCTTGCTGAGATCACAAACTCCTCTAGTTTCCTGTACTGATACTGTGAAGCTGATGCAAGGCATGCCTACAGAGTATAACAAGCTGAATTGTTGACTGTAGAAAATCTTGGGGGACCTATTCCAGTCTCCACAGGTCATCTTATTTGGGTTTCCTACTAATGAGACTGCCCGCTCCTAACCCAGTTCTATATTAACAGGAGAGTTTATGACCTGTTACTGTCTTATTTTTGTTTTATCAGCAAAGCAGCACTTTCTGGCGGTATCAGATGGCGCAGGTACATTGCTCATTCTCGAGGTGCCCTGGACTATACGCCATTCATCAAATCATGAAGTGAGTAACAACACTACTGTGTTTCTATAGTTCCATATTTTCAAAGGAAAGGATCCCACAAATCATCTTTCAGAACAGAAAACTCTACTCTCTAAATCACTTTGATGTCCATTTGAATTAAGTCTGTCTGGGCAAATTGTAAATGAGTTTTCCATGTTTTAAATCACAAATATTGCTGCTTGTTATAGGGTTATGTTGGCATCAAAAGGTGACTGATAACAGCCATTCTGGCACAAAAGTCATGGAGCACTCCCTGCCTTGCCTCCTTCAAGGCATGTCTCAAGACCCACCTTTGATCCACCTTTAGGCGCCTCCTGCCCTCCGCCGCCCCTGATCCCAACCCCCTGCTCGGGTCCAAATCTCTGACTGTCCAGCACCTTGGGACGTCCTCCTGGCATGAAAAGCACTATACAAATGCAATTTGTTGTTGCTGATGTTGTTGAAATAAATTTGCTGGCTGAAGGGGTCCAATGCAAAATAAGTTTGAGCAGTCACAGCCAACTCCTTGAGGGCATGGACTGCAAGCACCAAACTCTCTTTGATTTGAGATGAATTTCCTACTAGAGAGGAAAGTTATCCTGGCTGCTGTCGGAAATAGAAACACTGATTTTATGTCAGTAGGGGTGATGTGCAAGGAAAGAAAGGATGAGCATCATTCTGCAGCTGGCTTTGCCATACTTGACCAATGCTGACACCGAGCCCCACACAGCAAAATATTCCATTACCCAACACTAATATTCCTCAACTAAAAAGTGCCATTTCTGGTTTGCTAAATGGCATTTCCCGTCTCCCTAAATTTCTTAAATGTACTTTGATGAGCACAATCCTAACCCATTGCAACATTTTTTTTTACCCAAAATAAAAAAAGTAACTGGTTGAACCCTCTGATACTGTGTTATACTGTCATGATTTTTTTTCTTTTCCAGAAAGCTAACATTCAAAATTACTTTGAGAGAGAAGTGAAACGCTTGGAATATTTTGCTGCCAGAAAAAAAACAAGAGTGAAGGAGCCAGTAGAAGAACCGGAGACAAAGGAAATTTAATGAAATAATTTCTATCGGGGTTTTCAAACACTTCTACCATTCTTGCACAACATTATCCAAATGCACATCTAGAAAGGAAGGTCATACAGTCTAGCCACTATGTATTTATACTGGTGTCACTGGGCTTCAAATTGAAATAATGTACTCTGGGTGATTCAGAGCCCAGTCAACAGAGAATTAGGACTTTACCTTGTTCTGCTAATACTACCCCAAACTGCATATTGTTTCAGAGTACAAGTGTGTGAAACTGCTTCTATTAATATAACACTGAGAGTTGAAATCTGCAGAGTACAATAATGATTTCATTACTTACATTACTTCCTGATGGTTCTGTCAACACATTTCAAACAGTTATGCAGGCATTGCAGTTTCAACATATTTGTGGATATTACATCAAAACCAGTCAAATGAATCATCTGTGTTCACATTCCATCAACTGCAACACTGCACAAAATAGCATTCCTCTAAAGCAGTTAGAAAATCTCTTTCCATTTCATATGACACTCCTGCAAACAAATATATAGTCACTGAATTTTATAATAATAATAATCCTTGCATTTGCTATAGCGCTTTTCACGTCTTCTAGACGTCCCAAAGCGCTTCACAGAATATACTGTAAAGTGAATTGACTGTATAATTGAACTCAGGTCTCTCACTTGCAAAGTGAGTGCTCTAACCACTGAGCTACAGGACTCCACAGGATTTATAGTAAATCCTATGAAGCGCTTTGAGATGCTTCAATAATGTGATAAGGCCCTATATCAAATGCAACGATTAACAATCAACAATAGTCACTTACAGAAACATTTTTCATAATTTAATTTTTTTTCTGCAGGAACCGGTCTCAGCAGCAGAGAAGCTAGAAGAAATAAAAGAATTTCAAAAGGCATATGAGGCTTATTTGGAGTTGGAGAAACAAATACTTATGGAACTCAAAAAAGAAAAAATATTGGATACAGTAACAGAAAAGTAACAGTTAACTATCAATTTTAATTGACAGTTGAAATTTGTTTACGCAAACTGGTTATTTACTCAAGGTTTACTTAAAATGTTTAAAATCCTTTATTTGAAACGAAGATAAATGGTATGTAGGAAATACAGTGCAACATTATTGCACAGAAAACAGTTCTGAATATTTACTGTGAATTAATATCAATAAAGCCATTTTTCATAGATTTGAATTCTGGTGTTAATTTCTAAATTTAATGATACAATATTCATTAGAGAATAATATTTTCTAGTTTTCTATACAAAATACATAACGTTTTGAAACTGCAATACAGTATGATGCTAGTGCTGTGAAAATCATTAATAACAGTACTCAGTCATGCTTGCACCTCCTAAGATTACCGGTTCATTTAATCCTTTTGCATTTTGAGCAGTATGTGGAGCAAACTCTTTGAAGGTATGAGGCTGAGAAGGTCAATGACCTATGTAGAGTACAATCTTTATTACAGAATACTAATGAAAGAAAGAACACCTCTAGCCAGAAACTTTAGGCTATAACCATGAATGAAAAAGCAGGAAGCTGCAAGACATTATAAAACTAAGGGTACTAACTTTATATTCGATGATAGATCTTTGAAACTGCAATACAGTACTAATAAAAATTGGGAAGCTGAATCTGCAAACCACACTGAAGTGATTAAATTGTTTATATTGTACTTTTAAACAGCTGTAGAGCTTCACAATGCACTGCATTTTTGCTTCAACTCATTTGAAACAATTGAGAATAAATTCAGATAGTATAAATTCATTTGTTATAGAATTTGATAGCTAGATTTCTATCACTGAAACTGAGCAGGCCTTCTTTGGTCACAGTGGAAAGGGATATCAAACGCTGCAGGGTGACCTCATTTTTTCCTGTGACTTAGTAACCTGCTAAGGCTCATCGATTCTGCTAAATCAAGCATCCATATGGCTAAAGCAATAACAGACCACAAATGAAAAATACACTGAGGGGTTTCTGTAAATAGAAAAATTGAGAACCAGTTTAAGTTTAATGGCAGGTCAACTATTGATCTTTTATCCCAAACATCAAACAGTTGTTATTAACCAATTTTGTTAATTATTAACAGAATAGAATCAAGGATTTAGTTTAATGACTAGCAGTAACTATGAGAAACCTGAATATATATCTACGCAAAAAGGACATGTTGAATACTGTACATAAATACAGAACTAATATACTTTAAACAAATCTACAGTTTGCTGCTTGCAATGCATTTAACATTATCCTAGGCCTTTTAAAAGTCTCATCAAACAATGCTGAAATCACAAGTTATAATAAATCTTGTACAATTACTATAAGATGATCAGATAATAATAATAATCATCAAGGCGGTTTATATCAAGTTGATACCTTACAGCACTCACATCACTTTCTCCTACCTTTCCCAGCTCATGCTCCAGGTTTAGCTGTGTGAAGTGTGTTGAGACGTCCTCCTGATGTGAAAGGTGCTACTTAAATGTACATATTTGTTGTATTCTCCATATTGCCAGACCAACAATCAGCTGTTTAAATTACCAGGTTAAGGATGACTCTCCATTATAATATACCAATCATCTTTGGCTGATTCACCAATAATATGTATCAGGTTGGACAAGTATCCTAATAAACATAAGATGCATCATTAACTAAACCAAGAGAACCCTTTATTATCCTTAGTCTGAATGGACCAATAATAATAATCCTTTAATTTGATATAGCTTTTCACATCTTCTAGATGTCTCAAAGTACTTCACAGAATATACTGTAAAGTGAATTAACTGTATATTTGTGGGCAAGACTATGACTGAAATGGAAGAGAACTTTTTTTTGAGTTAAAAATTATTTCTGAAGTGACCTTCCAGATATTCAAAATCCTCAAATAGCCTTTAGTGGTGACGTTCTTGAGCTTTAATACAAACATCAAGAAAGATTATGAAAGTAGGTCAACGTTGGTTGGCTAAATAAACAGGAATGAAGCATGAGCATATTTCACAGAGGAATTTTTAATTCCACATTTATTACCTCAAAGCTAATGAATGTGTTCATTTACCAGCTCTCTTGTTCTATAAAAAAAGATTGTTTTTAATGAAAGCCTCCTGTAACGAGAAAGATTAACTGGTCTATCCAAGAGTGGTTTTGGCTAGGCTGAAATTTCATGTTTTCTTACTTGTGGGTTGACCATTTCTGCTGATGTAATCTACAGAATGTGAAGAACCATATTTTATAAGTCATTTGTGTGCCAAATATTACATGAAATTATTTTTTTTGAAGTATGTTGGAAAGATGAAGTTGCCTTTGAAACTTCAACGATTTTTAAAATTTATTTATATATTTTCCAAACATATTTTCCAAAGTTTACATCTCCACATGAAATCACCATGAAATGAGCTGGTAAGACCCATACTCCAAATTGCAAGCCCCAAAGATAACTACAACTCATCAGATGAGATGCCACATGGAAAGAAAAAAGAACAAAATTGGGATTGAAACAGTTCTTCGCAACATGATTCACTAATAGCGACTCAAGAGTTGCTAACGGGAATTTGGGCTATAATAACCTGTGTATATCAAGACAGATTTGCAGGAACTCTCTCTTTCACTGTGAAAGGGGGTTCCCACAAGTCACCTGCAAACTCCATTAGCAACAGTCAATATTCATGAATCTAGTTGTGATCTGTTAATTTTCAATCTCATTGGATGCTATTTGAATAGTTAAGAACCAAATATTCCCTAAAATTACATATCCAATCTCATAAGAAAAATGATTATTACACAAGTGCTATAATCCATTGGGAACAATGCCAGTAAAACTGAATTTGTTAAATATGCAAATTTTAATATTTGTGTCACAGTACAGATTTACTCAAATCATTAAAAGCCATATTTACAGGTTTAGTGATACCTTATCATCAAGGTTATGATGTGTTCATGTAACAGATAATTCATACAACATTAAAGTACGATTAAAAAACAATTGCAGCAGGTAAATTACAGTCAGAAAAAAATATTACAAAGAATCCTTTTAAAGCTGTGAGGAATGTTACTTAATATTAAAACAACCATACTTTTCACATTATACATAGCACATCAGGACGTTGAAACAAGACAACACACTTTACACCATTTAGTTCACACTGCTGGTCTTTAAAAAGAGTTTGTCAAATTTAGTCCATTAGGCTTTATACTGCCAGTAAATACTTCTAAAGAATGTTCTCAAAACATTCTGGTTATTCATAAAATCAGAGTGGAAAGAGTAGAAAAATAAAATATTGGCAAATTTAGAACCCTAGTCCTGGTATTTATACTCTTGGTGTAAATAAAAGTACCAAATCTATCCTCCAAAACAGCTGCTCACTCACCTTTTGGTTCAGTGGCCATCATTCTTCAAATTAAATCATCTTCCAAATATCTTGCATTAGATTGCCCAGATAGACCTGCTGTCTCTTAATTTTTCAGGATCAGTGAAGTTTCTACATGGAGTGGGGGAAAGTGGGAGAGGGGGTGGATCAACGGGATTGGCGGATGTAAAACAAAACTTCTACCTTTTTGCAGCTAAGCTGTGTCATCTGAAGCACATTTAAACTTGAAGTAATTAAAGTGTAATTGGCGCTTTGAATGGGGGAGAGAAAGGAGGTGGATGATGATGGGGAAGAGAAGGTGGTTAACTATGCTATGGCCTGTAGTCATTAAAACAAATATGTCTATGCTGGCTACTGAACAGTTACATAGGTCACACCGTGAATTCCTACATACAACAATGGGCCAGTGATAGCCAAAGTTCACCTACAAATGCAAGGTCACAACACTTTGCAGTCAACTGCTGTGAAGCACTTTGAGACGTCCTCCTGACGTGAAAGGCACTGTATCAAATATAAGGGTTAGTATTACGTTTCATTTTCCAAATACTGTCTAAACAAAATGGGATCATTTTCCAAGCCGGTAGGAGCCAGGGTCCTATAAAAATGCCAGAAAATCGGAAATTATTTTTTAAATCTTAAATATCTCCACTGAACTAGTCTTTAAATCAGCAGCCAACAACCGAGTCAGATGCTGACACAAAGACCTTATCTTATTCTGGATGTCATACTGTCTGAGTGTAAAGGAAAAAGGTAAAAAAAANTCCCTAACGAGCCAAATATTCTTTGGACTCTTTGTTTAGGTGTCAACATTTCTATGGAATACAACAATGAGTGATCAGCTTGAAATCAGCTTCAAATGAAGAATAACATTTGCTTAGTGTTTTATTTCGAATAAAAATTGTGAATTTTGAAATGAGAGTACACCAGTTCAGCACTGTCTTATGTTTGCTGGTCCATTTTTGTATTTTGTCTTTCCAAGCACACACACTTATTACGCCAGATATTTTCTACATAAGCACAATTAAAAGTAAATAACAAACATGCACCCAACAATGCGTTACACAAATCAGCTGATGAAATCATCTTTTTAATAATGCTTCTTTAAACGATCAGCCCGATATTATTTTTAAATAGAGGCATTTACTAGTTTACACGTCCTATCTCTTTAAAGATATGGAGCAGCCAAGTATGAAACACCCGTTTTAATGCTCTGTTAATAATGTTAGTTATCAATACTGACATGACAAAAACAGGTAATACCATAACAGGCATTGCAAATAATAATCAGTCATTTTAGGCTGAGAACACTTCCTCACAGCTCCGGTCATTGTGTATTTAATATATTTATATTTGCTACATATCCCAGGCAGTACATCTAACAATATTTGGCCTTCTGGTATGTGGGTCACTTTAAATGGTACACCCACACTTTATCAAAAATATACTGGGTTAGAAAAATATACCATTTGTTTTGATTTGTGTTTAAATAGTTACAGGGATGTGTTAATAATGAAGAAAAAAGACATAATTTTACAATATTTTTCGTCCCCCAAAATTGTGCAGTTTTTTTTTGAAAATGGTCTCTTCATAGCAGCCTTGGTGGTGTTCCATTGCAAACAAAAGGTGACCAGCAATATCTCTTAACTGGTAATTATTGCTGAGAGAACAAAACACAAATACTCGGTCACGTTGCAGAAAGATCTGCCAAGCAGCAACAGCCACCCTCAATAATGAGAATGACTTAGGATCGAACACTTAGAACTTCTTACAAGATGTCACTGGATTCAGTACCTGGAAAGCATCTGCTGAGCGGCAATGGCTAGTTTCCTTCAACAAGTCCTCATCAAAAGCCTGCTTTATAAGTGCATCAGTTAACATTCCTACCTGAACACAGACCTCAGTCTACAGTACACACTTAAAATATGCCTTTAAGGCACCATATACCCCTAAGGGTCAATCCACTGGATTCTTCCAATAAGAAGAAAAAAAAGTATACATACTGGAATATGTCTGAAATTATTCAGATGGCCCAAGATAGACCATGATACTTTGGTATCCATAAGTGAGCAGACAAAACACAGCTAACAGAACTGTCCTTTGCAGAACTGGTTGCAATGCTTTTGCAATACTGTTCATCTATCCTAGAAAGCAGAAGGAACTTCAGCAAGTGGCTTTCAGTTTGTTCTTGTTTAGCTCTCTTTCTAAATTCCCAATTAGCGTATCAATGCTTTCTTGAAGGTCTTGAAGGTTCACTGTATGCTCAAGTCCTGGATTGATCTTCTGCATTCTCACATAGGCCTCATAGGTATGCTCTTTGGATACAGGCTCCATGTGCTGATCTGGAGAGTCATTTGTTCTGTCTGTTGCACCATTTTCTTCCTCACTTTCACTGCCTTCTGAAGGAACATCATCATAGTCTGCCTCCATGATGTTCTCCTTTGTTCCTAGGAGGAAGCTTTCATCGCAACTGCTCCAGTCTCCAGCATAGCGATTACTTGGACTATCGAGTCTGACCTGCCTAGGTCTCAGTACCCCGGTCACCTCTGCATTTGTCAAATTCAAATTTGTGGGTCGTTGCTTCCTTCTTCTTACACAGTTCAATGACTGATGTTCAAGTGATGCACTGATTTGCTCTTTGGTACCTACTTTTTGCACTGGAAGACAAAATACAGGGGGATTATCCCCCAACAGTATGAGATATTGATACCTGCAGTCAAACGATATGGTTCAAGAGTTTATTTTCCTCAATATCCTGCCACTTCAGTTAAATTACATTCTCTTGCAATAAAATTGCACCTTTATTTTAATACTGATAGCGAGTGTTATGATACTACTGTTTGAGCATGTGGATGCTGGTGAAAATAGAAGCAGATTTATTTTAATATAAAATAAAATCACCTTAATTTTCTGGAGGAACACAATTTAAATTGGTAATTACTGGTGTAGTATGATATGCAAGCCTTTGCACAGATTCTAAGGTGTGATCCTAAATAATACAGGATTCACTTGATCAGCGGAATCCACCCTAAAGTACGTTTGTCAAACAATTGTATTTATGAACAAATAGGCAGAAACCTTATTCGTTAAAAGTTTGTGATCCATAACGCAGTAACCAAAGGAGCAACATTTAAACTGTACAAGAGCAAAATCTTCTAACTAAACTTTTCTTACAGGGATTCCAGTGAGTCACAATAATTATGATTGACAAGCAAATTGCTTCTAATGGATGTTGATCATCACTTTTTTTATTCGACTTAGACGTGATTTCAGCAGCTGACCTTTCCTGGAAAGATCAGGCACTGAGCAGGGCTTGTTAAATTTTGTGGATAACTTTAAAAAAAAACAGAAAAACTCAACTCATTAGCTTGTCCATAGTTTGAAAAACACCGATGTAAAGCTCCAATATAATGAACAATAATAGCACCTATTAGAATGAATATCCAAAATCAATTCACGAACAGTTAGTAAACAAGGGAAAGTCTCAGCTCATCAGTTTATCTAATGGAGAAAGGACAACCACTTAAGCTTTCTGCCATTCAACTCTTTGATTTTTTAAAAAAAATTATTCTGCATATACCCTTCTCTTCCCTCGGCTCTCACACAGTACGCAGCTAAAGAGAAAGCAGGAACCTTGCTCTTCTTTCAGTACTGTGGTAGGGATAGACAACAATCATGTGATGAAGCAGTAACTAAACCTCTTTCCATTTTCTTATTAAATGTGGCACCCATGGATCTCATTGTAATGTATATAGGTGCAATTCATATCTCCAATGGGTATATTTCTGCTTTAATGTCTAACATCCTAGTTATGCTCTACATTATTTCTGCACTCTGAAGAGTGATAGAGAAAGCGTTCAACCTAAAAGTAGTCTGGCCTGACTTTGGACCAGTTGTTTTTCCCTTTCCCTTTAGATTCAAAACACAAGAGTGTTCTCTCACCTGGCCAAAGCTGAAGTAGATAATGCAACACTTCTATGTGTTTCTTGAAGTCCAGTGCACTAGCAAGCTCTTCAGAGTCTGTAAAAACCCTGTTGCTGTGATTGGAGGCTTCCTGTCTCTGGCTCAGTAACACAGGCCCAAAACATACTGCTAAGTTCTGGCAGGTCATCTTATTCACCTCATGGTATGAAGCCACACGTTTCAGGTGATCCAACAGCATCCTAAGTGTTGCCTGAGGTGGAAAATAGACAGAAAAAAAAATTGTGTACAATTGAAAAATAATTATTCTTTTATATAAAACTGTTGAATCTACCAAAGATATTCGAGTTAAAATATGACAGTAGACACATAACTGCTTACGTAAGACTGGAATACAAAAATCCAATCCATAGCATTAAAACAATTGTGGGTGTAAACACGCTTGTAAATCAACAATTGACAAGAGAAAATAGTGCGTACTGACAACTGAATACAATATATCAAAGTAAGTCAAGTAAATATTATTCAGCTCTTTAAAAAAAGTACACAAGCTTTTGAATCTGTTAACTGGTAAAGATACCGAATCAAATGTAAATTGAAATACTATATTGGTGATCAGAATGTTCAGAAATCAACCAAAAAGGATTTTTGGATGTCTACATTATCTGTTCATATGCACTATAGAGAATTACTTGAACATTATTTTTGCAATTGTATAAAATAAATATATTTGCACTAAAGAAATTATCTGGGTGTACCAAGTTATACCCTGCAAACTATTTATTTTATAGGGTTCTCAGATATACCACAACTTGCAAACATAAAGATACTCTGTATTTCCCTTAAAAATAGCAAAAATTTTTATGTCCAAAGCCAGCTTCAGAAAAAGTCTTTCTTAAAAGCGCCAGGTTTAGGCGCTTATATTTTTAAGGCTTGATTAAACAAAATGTTGATTAAAAGTTTGTCAGATTAACTGATGCAATCCACAAAAAGAGCAGAATCTCTAGATTCTAAAAAGTTTGGAAGTAACTTCATTATCTAAATACTAGCAGCCCTTAGTCCCAGAAAGTCATCCCACTTAATTTCTGATTATTGCTGGTATCCCAAGAATGCAAAGGAACAAAACAAAGCGATAAGAATGTTTGAGCTGCACCAGTGAAAACACATCAATAACGTGACCTGATGGGGCTGAAAGGTCTGCAAATACACTCTACATCCCGGATTCAATCTTATTACCGCCCCAACAGCAAAATGGTTCAGACTTCAAGTCGTCTTTTTGTGTGGTGAGGAGAGCGACTCAAACTTTCATTCTCGTGACACACGACAGGGAAATTTAGGTTGATAACTACACATTTTCAACAGACAAACTTTCAACATCATCCACATAGGTATTCAACAAAAATTGTTACGATAGGAATGTAAACTTTTTTCACAAATATCATGATCAGTTTAACATGATTAAAACAAGTTAGTTATGTGAAATGGAGAACAACACCATGACATCTTTAAGGAACCCGAGGTTTTGATGGGGATTAAAATCTGAATGCTGGTGATGTATTGTAAGCATTAGCCAAGACCTGAAAAGATGCTAATTCCTATTCAATATACAGAAGCAACTCTGGCAGACTTGGTATACAAGTCCAAAGATCCATCATAGTGAGCCTCCAAGAAATTTATTTCTCTACTGGAAAAAAATTTGAGCACCTTTTGAAGCACTTTAAAAACAGGTTTCAATGTTCTGAAAATTATTCAGGACTGGAACTTGTGTTTATAATACACAATATACATTGCTCCAAAGTAAGATCTTGTACAAAATATTCATGCATCCTTCCAAGTGTTGCTAACTTTGAATTGTCACAGTTTATAGAAACTATTTTGAAAACAGCTATATTTAAATATGTATATCCCACATTAGAATAATTATTTTATCCCTGAATGGCACAATGATTACATTTAGTCAAATAAAACTTTATGATTACATTTTAATTCCACGTTATCTAGATGGAAAGATGATTACATTTAATTTTTGTGTGCAATGAAGTTAATTTAAGTTGTGCTAATAGGTGACCCATATAATAGCATAAATAACATGTAAACCTTTCTGCTGATGTAAGTAGAGAAGGTTTGTCTGAGTTTAGATCAAATTTAAGATTGCCTGCACATTAGCCGGTATGGGTAACTGTGACTATTAAGCAAAAGTACTGGACTCATTCTGATCAAAAGCTGACTGGTATTTTCATTTGTGTGGTTTGCAGAGAATATTGGATTTTCTTTTAAATGTGTTACTAATAAACACTAGTAATTTAGGTCCAGCTTTCCTGTAGGAATCTGAATTCTCTAAGGACAATGTGTAGTGGAGGAGAGGGAACTCAACTCTCCTTCAACTGTCAACTGTGTTCCACTGTGTGTTATTGGGAATCACTGGGTGGGTCAAATCTACAAGGAAAAATTGCTAGTTGAATCTCTACGGTATTTAGGATTTCATAACATGATTATTTATAGTTTTCATTTTTCTCAATCAATGATAAGTTTGTTTTTAACTGAACAGATTAAAAGTAATGATGCACAGTGTGGGGGTTGGGAAGGGAAAGAAAACCAAAGGGAGGAAGTTCAAAATAAAGAATATCTTTGGGAATATGCCCAAATGAACTGTCTTATCAAAAGAGTGTATTTACTTGATAAGAAAGTCCATCTGACTTGAATTGCATTTAAAGATTATGGTGCTCATATATTTCATTACACATTGACCAGATTCATTATCAAATCGGTTACGGCCATTTCAACGTTTTACATTAATTTTGACACAGTTTAGGTGAAAAGGTTAGACATTTACTAATTCACTTTGAGCTACCTCATAATTTCCAGCATTTATCAACAGTAGCGGTAACAAAGAAAATAAAATGTTATGAAACTAAACAGGTTTACCAGAGGAATGTTTCGATACTACATTACTGTCAAACCTTTGAACGTTTCGACTTTCATCAGTTTGTGATTCTGGATGACAGCCACAAGCCTTGATCTTAATGGAAGGTAGTCAAAACCAGTGAAAAAGCCTAATCTCTTAAACCTCTTCCCAAATTCAGTAGTAACTTCAATATTTCACATAAAGTTTTTTAAAAAATATTTACTTTAAAAAGATCTTCATTCTCTACGTGAAGTTTAAAATGATATATAATAATAATAATCCTTGCATTTGATATAGCGCTTTTCACATCGGGAGGATGTCCCAAAGCGCTTCACAGAACACACTGTAAAGTGAATTGACTGTATATATGTGGGCGAACTCGGCAGCCAATTGCGCACAGCAATGTCCCACAAACAGTCGTAGATTGAAAATGACCAATTTATTATTGCTTTTGGTTTTGGAGGGATTATTATTAGATGTGTGGAGTAAGGAAACTTGCCCAAGGTTTCGCCCTCTGCCTGGAATTGAACTCAGGTCTCTCACTTGCAAAGCGAGTGCTCTAACCACTGAGCTACAGGACTCCAAATATATTGAGTGACTTTAGAACCACTAAAATGGGAAAAGACAATTAACTCCGTAATTAGCACATTCCTCAAGATTGCTCAAACTCCTTCCCACAAACTCAGATTCTTTACCTTTTCCACTTCAGGCAGGCAGTCAAGGAGAGCAACTGTATATTCAGAGTCAGCAAGATCATTTTCACATCCAGAAGAGGTCATCTTGAGGGGTTTCTTAGCCATTGCTTCCAATACGGCTTCGTATAGCTGCTTTGTTATCAGAGGAGAAGGCAATTCCCTCAAATAATCCTTGAGAACACCTGTATGTGTTTAAAAAAAAGACAAATTATGACATCAATCTCCAAGATGTGTTTTCTTTAAACTTTTCAGAACGACCAGATTCCAGAATTCCTTCGCTATATTTTTAGTAGAGAGAAAAGTGACTAAGTTTGGCTTGAAAGCATTCTATGAACTCTATGCCACTTTTCCTTTTAAATGGCTACATACTCCACAGTATCCACAACAACTTTTACAGGCTCGGACATGCTTTTGTCTTCACTGTATTCGAACCAACCAATTTAAGTAGAACTAGTAGAACTAACTAAATCCGGAATTTAATCTTTATTTAGCAGCTACCAGTATTATAATAATAATAATAATAGTAGTATGCCAACAAACCATTTACAGTATGGGTTAGAAATTACTCGAAAACAATATGAACCAGAATTTTTGTAATCATGGATGCTCAACTCCAACCTATGGAGCTTTTTAAAAAACAATCTTAAGGCTTTTCAATTAATCACTGGTGGAGGTTGAGGTAATACAATAATATTTATATATGCCAAAGCCCAACAGCAGAAATTTAGAACTATTAGCAGTAGTAAATGTAATCTCAGACTCAATAAAAGCCAACGGATGGCCACACAGTGACTGATGCTTGTGAAATTCCCCACAGACACTTGGCGTGATTAATTAACAACTGCGAATTGGAGTGAACACTGCTCTATAAACATACACTACGGACTAGAAATCGTTGGATAAAATTAAACAGGCATTAATTAAAACATTTCATAAACAGACCCACCAACATACCAAAAATCCTTTGGATTCTCTCACCCCCACTATATGTCAATGGCATCCCTCTCAGAATTATTATTATATAACAGCTCATAAATTATCAGAATACTGTATTCAGGATTACCAGTGGATTTTACAAGCAGAGTTGAAAGAGGTCATTTTAAAAATCTACTCGCTTGTTACTTAGATTTAAGTGAATAAAATTGAAGGACGTTTTTATTAAACATACTAAGGTAACACATTTCCATTTTTTTCATATTTCGGTTTTGTAGATTTGCTTTATAGCACATGAAACAACAACAAGATTCCATTTATAGAGCACCTTTCACGTCGGGAGGACGTCCCAAGGTGCTGGACAGTTGGATCAGGACCCGAGCAGGGGGGAAATGGTCAGGGTGAGGACAGGGAAGGGAAAGAGTGTCAGACTTTCTGCAGCAGTGGTTGTGTTATCTGTGCACAACAAAATAACTGGCATTTGTTTCCCATAACAAATCCCGACAAAATAACCCGAAATATCAGATTCACTATATAATAAACTAACCATTCAAAAAGAGAAGGGAGTTTCTCCCTGGGTCCTGGCTAACAATCCCTCCAAATAAAATTGGGTCATTCACCTCTTGGCTGTTTGTGGAACATTTCTATGTGGAACTTGGCTGCCGTGTTTGCCTATAAATACACAGCCATTGAACTCCGCAGTAAAATCCTGTGAAGGGCTTTGAAATGTCTCGGCAACATAATAAGGTGCTCTATCAAATGCACGATTACTACCAAATGGAACTGTGCTGGAGATGTTCTCTAGCAATAGTTACTTGTGAGTGAGGGAAGGTTTACAGGTAATTGAATTAAAAATGTAAAAAAAGGGTTTAGACCCCTAGGACTGCTTTGGTTTTGCACTATGAACAGTTCATGCAATTTGAATGGATAAACACCCAACATTTCTTTATGTATCAATGGGCAATGCTGCAATGTTTCCATACCTATCCTTGGTCAAGGTCTAACATTTGATGTGTTACAAAACAATTACTGAAAGCCTGATACCTTTAAAAAGTAGAAAAAAAAAGCAATGACTACAATAAAGTCTGAGCAATCTTCACATGACTTAGGGCGGAAAAGGAAGTGAGAAAGAGCAAAATGTTGCAAGCTTGTTTTTTTTAAATAAATACAAATCTATTGTACGGTGAAGGTTATAGCTGTGAACTCTGGTTAATGCTAATGCTTTTTCTTAAAGCTCAGCTTTAATGTAATGTAATAGCAATGTCACAATGCAATAACCTGCTGACACACACTGTCCATGCTCACACAAAGAGAGATTATTTGCATAAATGTAGTGAATACCTACAAAACCAACCCTCCCATCTGTACTGCATGAGCCACCTACTTGATGAAAAAAAGATTTATAATTCCCCTTTCATCACTTCTAATATTGTTGATAAAAACATAGTACTGTATTAAAAAATGCAGACTTTATGTTGTATAAACAACTAATTTTATTGGAGATGTTCAGCCCTCCCACTACAGCTTCATTCCAACAATCTCCCAAATACCACTCGAGACTGGCATGCATGGATGGGGCAGTGGCTCACGGGATGGCATAAACAATCATTGTGTTGTCTGTAGCAATGTGATGCCTATAATATTATACACAAGTATGAACAATTCTTCCAAGTTGATTATCAGAAACTATGTGACAAGACAATTTAAAATGCACAGTTCTTCTGTGCTCTCTGGCTGTAATGTGTACCAAACATTAAACAGTCACTTTTTTTTTGAAAAAAAACATTCTCTCCTGTTAAACTTAAGAAGGTAGCTATTTTTTCAGCATTGTTCCATAGCAACCCTCCTGCGCATCTGCCAAGTGGCATTTTTAACCATCAACATTAATTCCAAACAACACAGGCAGAGCTGTGAATGCATAGCGTGTTGTTGGAAGGCTCGATTAAACTCATGATCCCCCTATGTTTCTGAATTACAAATTTCCTGGCATGAGACAAAGGAATATTATTTTTTAAAGAAATGTTTTCATAAATAACTTCATATATTTATATGCTTATAAAAATAAAATGGGATAATCCTCCATTTGTCACAGAGTTTTGCGTAAAGAGTCTGAAAGAAAAAAAATGACTATTTAAAGCTCAAGTTACTATTTATTTCAGTATTATTCCATAACACCCCTCCTGAACCTCTGCCAAATGGTAGTTTTACCAATCAACATTGATTTCAAACAACACTCGTTAATTTCAGCCAGAATTGTAAACACGTAGCGTGTTGTTGGAAGTTGCTGGGAATGGGGTTCATGAGCCAAGTCACAAACATGAGTTAAAGAGAAAGGACCTCTCACTTATAGATGCAGTGCTGGTGCTACTGAGGCCCATAAAAGAGGAAAAATTTAAGATAAACCATATGCGAGTACTCTATAAAGAATGCGGGAAACTAAATGGTACAAAATGAAGTTCTTAGTTTTGCAGGACCCTAGTGATTTTCCCTCCCTATAGAATAGCAGATTTACTTAGGGGGCAATAAGTGGAAAAGAATGTTAGCAATGAATGCTTGATTGCATTAAACGTTTTTTAAAAAAACTACAAAATGAGAGTTCAAAAAATTCAGAAATCGGTTGGTAGATTAAATCCAGATGATAGACCGCAATTTGAAGCGGTTTAGGCTTCCAGTAACACACTATGCATTCACAGCTTTTCCTAAAGCTGCAACAAATGTCGCTTGGAGTAGATTTAACTTGGTAAGCAACCACATAAACCAAGAATAAAACTACAAGTCCTCTTTCCTCAGAATTCCCTGCTATTCAGGTAATCCAAGTATAACCACTCCACCTTTAACCCATTATTCTTGTGTTTTGACCCATAGCTTCAGATTGCAATTTTTCACCGGTGATTATTTCAACCACCAACACCAATGACCTATAGGCGCGTGGGGGAGAAAGAGAATGAGAAAAACACAGAGGACTGGCCTTGTGAATCCCAGCTTTTCCTCAGTGAATCATTAACCAGATGACATGAAGTTTACTTAGCATCACAGCAATATAACACACCTGAATTTATAAAAGTTTTACAATACTCCCATGAATAAAAAATGTTTCAGCACAACCATGCAATCAACTCTTGATCAACGTATGGTTAAAAGCAGTAAACTGAACTTCTGAGATAACACACCTAACTAGAAAACCTTGAGGACAACATTGCAAATCCTTCTGAAAAGCTTGGTTTGGAAAGGTTCCAGATCGTTTCGGCACGAGTGCTAGCTGACTAAGCAAGAGGGTCTGTGTCCACGATTCTACACAAACCAAATTCACGATCTTGGTACGTTGTAAGTCAGAGTTAAATGGAAACCAGGTGTTTCCCCAGAAGGAAAGGGAAAGAAAACTGGAATGTAAGGCCACTGAGCTGCTGCTCAGACCTCCGATCTCCTGGTTCAAGAGCAGATGAGCCTTAAATTTTGTGAAATAGTTTCAAACACCGTCGAGGGTTACAAAGAATAACAATTACATTGAATCCTATTCATAATATAGACCAGTGCTTCACTTGTCTTTTAAAATCAATTCTCATGTTATTTTTCTACACAAAACCATGCACACAGTAGCAAGTAATACGCTTTCATTGAAATCTACCAAAGATTTCTCAAGTAACTGATACCCCAATCGTATCATTTGCGTGCAGCAGAACTGTTTGATGGAAGCTGCAATAGTCCGTTTTGTCAATTCCCCCCCTCCTTTGGTACGGCAGGGGGATTTTGACAGACCAACAAAGAAACTATAGTACTATATTTGCTGATGAACAGCCTGTTGTGACATAAGGTCTGGGACTTCTGTTTGCTAGCTGCTGATCCTACCCACTGTACAGGCCAATGCTGAGAGAGAGAGAAAAAAATATACTTCTGCCCTGTCAGGCACTGCTCATTATGCACAATGCAAGAAAATGGCATGATGATGGTAAGGTCAGCCACAGGTCCTTTTAGTGTACTCAGACCCAAGTTATGCCATCTTGCTTACAGTGCCTCAGTGCTGTTGATGATAGTGCTGTTACACAAACACATTCTGAGGAATAAAACATTATACAACATCAATCCCCTCTTCAGAACAGAATACTATGAAAGATGCGAGAAAGAGGACTGTAAAACTGCTGCAAAACGTAAGAGAAGGGATTAAAAGCACTAACTCAATAAATGAGCTATTCACAGACTAATGTTTTCTTAGAACCACTAAAAGACTGTGTAAAGTTGGTATAGGTTGTAA